TCTTGGGGGGGTCTGACCGTGGTGAGGGGCTCTTGGGGTGGGTTTTGGCTTGGGGGGGGGGGGGTTCTGGCCATGGTGAGGTGCCAGCGTGGCCCCCCCCACAGCCTGGCCCCCGCCCCAGTGCCCCGTGCTATGAGCGTTGGCCGTGCCGTCCCCGCGAGCATTGCAAATGAAAATGGAGGAAATGTCTTTGTCTGGCCTGGATAACAGCAAACTGGAGGTGAGCACCGGGGCTGCCCCCCCCGCGCCCCCCCGTGCCCCCCATCTCTGAAATCCACCCCCCCGGCTCCCCCCAGGCCATCGCGCACGAGATCTACACGGAGCTGGTGGACGATGCCTGCCTGGGGCTGTGCTTCGAGGTGCATCGCGCCGTCAAGTGCGGGTACTTCTTCCTGGATGACACCGACCCCGACAGCACAAAGGACTTCGGTGAGCGTGGGGGGGACATTGTGGTCCTGGTGTCACCGGGTGAGCCATGGAGGTGCTGGGAAGGGGATTGCTCATCCCCGTGTGCCGGTGGGTGGGGATGAGGGGGGATGAGGTGGGTTGAAAGCAACCAAGGGGGGTTGGACATGGCCGAGGGGGGTTGGACATGGCCAGGGTGGGTTGGACATGGCCAAGGTGGGTAGAACATGACCAGGGTGGGTTGGACATGGCCAAGGTGGGTTGGACATGGCCAAGGTGGGTAGAACATGACCAGGGTGGGTTGGACATGGCCAAGGTGGGTTGGACATGGCCAAGGTGGGTAGAACATGACCAGGGTGGGTTGGACATGGCCAGGGTGGGTTGGACACGGCTATGGTAGGTTGGATATGACCAGGGTGGGTAGAACATGGCCAATATGGGTTAAACACAACCACCTCACCACAGAAGAACCACTTTGGCCCGGCCTGGGGTGCCCTGATGCAGTTGAGGATGTCCCTGCTCATCGCAGGTGACCGCACAGAGCCTCAGGAGGCCCCTTCCATCCCAGACCATTCTGTGATCCTACGGACATTGCCCCAGGGTAGAGGCTGTGCTCTGGGGAGCACCACTGAGGGGCTCTGACGCGTGTCCCCATGCAGAGATCGTGGACCAGCCCGGCGTGGACATCTTCGGGCAGGTCTACAACCAGTGGAAGAACAAGGAGTGCGTGTGCCCCAACTGCAGCCGCAGCATCGCCGCCTCCCGCTTCGCCCCCCACCTGGAGAAGTGCCTGGGCATGGGGCGCAACAGCAGCCGCATCGCCAACCGCAGGTGAGGGTCCTGGGGGGGGCAGGATAGGCCCTGTGGTGCTTGGTGGGATGCAGGAAGGATCCTGGGGTGCTGCGGGGATCAGGATCGATCCTGGGGTGCTGCGATCAGGATGGATCCTGGGCTGCTGGGGGAATTAGGATGGATCCTGGGGTGCTCAGGCAGATGTGGATGGATCCTGGGGTGCTGGGACCAGGATGGATCCCGGGGTGCTCAGGGGGATGTGGATGGATCCCAGGGTGCTGGGATCAGGATGGATCCTGGGGTGCTCAGGGGGATGTGGGTGGATCCCAGGGTGCTGGGATCAGGATGGATCCTGGGGTGCTCAGGGGGATGTGGATGGATCCTGGGGTGCTGGGACTAGGATGAATCCCGGGGTGCTCAGGGGGATGTGGATGGATCCCGGGGTGCTCAGGGGGATGTGGATGGATCCTGGGGTGCTCAGGGGGATGTGGATGGATCCTGGGGTGCTCAGGGGGATCAGGATTGATCCTGGGGTGCTCAGGGGGATGTGGATGGATCCCAGGGTGCTGGGATCAGGATGGATCCTGGGGTGCTCAGGGGGTGCTCGGGGATGTGGATGGATCCCAGGGTGCTGGGACCAGGATGGATCCTGGGATCAGGATGGATCCCGCTGTGTCCTGAGCCCCCTCCCCTCTGGTGCAGGATCGCCAGCAGCAACAACATGAACAAGTCAGAGAGTGACCAGGAGGACAATGACGACATCAACGACAACGACTGGTCCTATGGCTCCGAGAAGAAAGGTGGGGGGAGCATGGGGGTCCCTATGCCCAAATGTGGGGTCCCCCATGGGGGGGAGGGGGCGGCTGCAGCGTTTGGGGCCTAAACCCCCCTGAAAAGGTAAAATTCATCTTTTCTGTCTCTCCCCATAGCAAAGAAGAGGAAATCGGACAAGGTGAGGGGGGCAGGTGGGGGAGGCTGAAGGACCCAGGGAGGGCCGCGTTGCACCCCCTAATTCCCCCCCCTTTGTTGCAGAACCCCAACTCGCCCCGCAGGTCCAAGTCCCTGAAACACAAAAACGGTGAGGGGGGGACGTGTGGGGGGCAGGGCGGGGGGTCCGTGGTGGGGGATTATGGGGGGCAGACCCCCTGCACCCCCTCACCCCTCCTCTCTTCCAGGTGAGATTGGAGGGAACCCCGATCCCTTCAAGGTGAGCCCATGACAGGGGTGATCCCATCCCCCCCGGGTGTCCCTGCCCCATCCTGCCCCTGACCCCCCCTCTGCCCCCCCACAGTACAGCAACTCCACCGGGATCAACTACGAGACGCTGGGCCCCGAGGAGCTGCGGACGCTGCTCACCACGGTGCGTGGTCCCCGGGAATGGGGACCTCGGTGATGTGCATCCCCCCTGGAGCAGGGCCTGATCCTGCTGGATGCAGCTGCTCCGGGGGGGCACTGGGACTGGGGCTCCTCCACCTTAACCCATCCCCTCTGTCCCCAGCAATGCGGCGTCATCTCGGAGCACACCAAGAAGATGTGCACCAGGTCAGAGCATCCCGAGGGTGCTCTGTGGGTCAGAGCATCCTGTGGGGCCGCAGGGGCGCTGGGGGGCTCAGGTCCCCATGGAGGACACAGAGGCTCAGCCCCACGTGTCCCCCCCAGGTCCCTGCGGTGTCCCCAGCACACAGATGAGCAGCGGAGATCGGTCCGGGTTTATCTGCTTGGTCCCTCGGCGTAAGTGAGCACGAGTGGGTCCCATTGCCCGCGTTTGGGGTCCCATTGCCCGCGTTTGGGGTCCCATTGCCCGCGTGTGGGTCCCATTGCTCGCGTGTGGGGTCCCATCGCACACATGGGATCCCAGTGCCACTGTCCTGATGTGTCTCTGCCCCATGGTGACCGGGGGCAGGCTCATGGGGACACCTTGGGGGGAGCTGAAGCGCTGGGGCTGGGGTGTGGGTCCGAGCACCCCCATTGCACTGGGGGGCGCAGCGGCACCATGGCCCCCCCCCAACTCCTGTGCCCAGGTCCCTGCCCGAGGCCGAGGGCGCTGTGGACACCGAGAGCTTCGAGGTGGCCGAGAGCCAGAGCCAGGCCCTGATGAGCCGCCTGCAGTGGGACGGCTCCGACATCTCCCCCTCGGACTCAGCCTCCTCCAAAGCCAGTGAGCGATGGGGGGCACAGTGGGGGTCCGGGTGCAGCAGGGGTGGATGCTCTGCTCTGGGGGGGCTCTTTTTGCTCTACCTGACCCCATCCATCTCCCTCTTTCCCCCCCCCCAGGTACCAATAACTCCGAGTCCCGCAAGACCAAGAAGAAGAAGCCGCACTTGGGGCTGGGCAGCGGAGCGCCGGGGCTGGGCTCCAGCAAGAAGAAGAAGCCCAAACCCCCCCACACGCACCCCCCCAGCATCTACGATGACATCAACTGAGCAGCGGGGCTGGGGGGGACACGGACACATGGACCAGTGGCACACAGCGCGGGTACCGGGGGGAGCATGGATATGGGGGGGGGTTGAATTTGGGAGTCTCCCCCACCCCCTCTGGTGCCTCTATTTATTGATGTCCATGGGGCTTGGAGATGCGGGCACAGCCCCCTCTTCCTACCCAGCCCCAGTGGGGGGGGCACCCGCAGCACCAGGCCTGACCCCCACCCCCATGCCCTGGTTCAGGATGGGGGGAGAATGGAGGGGACCCCCCCACATCTGCAGCTGGATTTGACTGGGGGGTGGGCACTGGGGCCTGCAGGGGTTGGGGGGGCTGCATGCTGCATCCTTTATGCTTGGGGCTGGTTGGGGGGGGGGCACCGCCATGGGGGGTAACAGCACCCCCCCAGTGCCACTGTACCCACCAGTGCTTTTGTAGCCCAGTTGCCATAGAGCAAACGGGGGGGGGCAGGCACAGCTCAGCTTTGTGGCAGAGCCCCCCCCATCCCCATGTGCCCGGGGACCTGGTGCTGCCATTGGGGGGGTCCTTGGGGCTGGTGTTTAAGACCTTCCCCAGCACCCAGCTCTGGGTGTTCTCCATGAAGGGGCTGTGTTGGGGACCTGTTCATTGCCCCCCCCCCCCATGGGTCTCTGCCCCCCACATCCGTCTGTGTCCCTGTGGGGTGCTCCTGTGCTCCCCCCGGTGCCGTGGGTCTCAATTTATGGTGCTCTTGGATTCACTATGGTCAAACTGCTGCTAAAGGCTCGTGCTGGGGGGGCCCGCGGGGGGCACCAGCGCACGCTGAGCTGGCCTTGGCGTGCCCTGGGGCTGAGGAGGGGGGGGTCCAGCCCCCAGACCCACAGGGACCACCCTGACCACCCCCCCGAACGGGACAATGCCCAGGGATGGGAGGGGGGGGACCCAGCCTGAGCCCTTCTGCTGCGGGAGAGGAGCCGCTGTTCGGGGTCCAAGGAGTGCTGTGGGGCTGGGGGGGTGGATGTGCCCCATATCCCCCCCCATGCGTGGCCCCCCCATGTCCCTGCTCTCTGTGCGTGGTCTGTGTCCCCCCGAGCGCGTTGTGGCTGCCCCTGTAAATAAAACTGCATCTTGACTTGGTACCCGGGGCCATTGACCCCTCCTTGACCAAAACGCCCTCGTTTTGCCCCAGACCCGTGGGGAGGATGGGGGGGGGGGGGGAGGGAACCCAGCGCAGAGTCACCGGGACCGAGCTTCCACCTTTTACTGCTTCACATGGGGGGGAGCGGGGCCAGGGCTGGCTCCTGCCCCCCCGCTCTATGGGGCCGCAGCCCCGAACCCCCCCCCCCCCCCCGATCCCCGAGCGACACCTCCGGGGCGGGGCCAGGCGCGCGCGGATGGCGCGAAACCGGGAGGGCGGGAGAGGAGGGGGCGTGACTACGCTGCGGTGGGAGGGGCCATACGCAATGGGGCGCGGTTTGTGGGCGGGGTTTCGGGCGGGGGGCGTGGCCTCGGGCCCCTGGGGCTGGACCCACCCGGGACCGCCCCCCCCCAGCCGCTCCCCACGGTGAAGGCCCCTCCATTGCCCCGCGGATGGGGGAGCCCCGGGGGTCCCTCAGCGGATGAGCCCCTGCAGGGGCAGCCGCAGGTAGCGGCGCAGGGCGGGCGGCAGCGCCAGCGCGGGGACGGCGTCGTGGCAGCGGGGGCCCAGGCTGCGGCGCAGGGCGCAGCGGGCGAGGTGCTGCAGGCGCCGCGGCTCCCCCGCCATGCGCACGGCAGAGGTGTAGAACTCCCGGTGCTCCTGGAGACGGGACAGGGGGGCAGCGAGGTGGGGGGGGGTCAGCGACACCCAGGGCCCCCCCCCGCCGTGGCCCCCTCTTACCTCCCACAGCTCCGGGGACACAGCGTCCACCCAGCCCTCGGCCGGGGGGATGCGGTCGTAGGCGTTGAGCACAACCTCCAGCGCCGGCGGGTGCCGGCAGCAGAACTTGAGCATCTGCGACACGGAACGTGAGGGACGCGGCCCCGCCGCCACCGTCACCCCCAGCACCTCTCTCTCCATCACCCACCTTGGGGTGGACGGGGCCGGCGCCGTGGTCGAGGAGCAGCGCGATGGTGTCCTCGGGGCGCTGGTCCTGGTACTCCTCGACGGCGCGAAGGGCACAGTCCAAGGGGGTGTCCCCGGCGCAGTTGGCGGCGGTGGCGTCGGCGCCGTGGCGCAGCAGCAGCCGCACGAGCCAGGCCTGCCCGTTGGCGCAGGCGTTGTGCAGCGGCGCGTGGTGCTTGCGGCCTGCGGCGCTGGGGTCGGCGCCGGCCGCCAGCAGCCGCTCGCAGACGGGGCCGTAGCGCTCGGCGGCATCGCGGTGCTCGGCGGCGGCGCAGGCCGCGTTCAGCGGGGTCTCGCCCTGGCGGCTGCGGCACGAGGCGTCGGCGCCGTGGTGCAGGTACAGCTCCACGTGCGCCGCCAGCCCCTGCCGCGCCGCCACGTGCAGAGGCGTCAAGCGGCGCTCCCGCGTCTCCAGCCCCACGCGCGCCCCGTGTGCCAGCAGCAGCTCCGCGCACCTGCGGGGGGCACGGGTCAGGGGGTGCGGGGACACCCGGGCCCTGCTGGCACCCCCTGTGCCCCATGGATGAGGGGCAGGACGGGGGGCAACCGTGGGGCAGGACTCGGATGGGGGCGTGGCCTGACCTTAAAGGGGCGGGGCTCGTTATGGGTGTGGGCCCCCGTTTAGGGGCGGGGCTTTCTCTGGGGAGACGGAGTCACGCTGGGAGGCGGGGCTTGCTGTGAGTTGCGTTTTGATTGGGCGGGGCTGCTGTTGGGGCGGAGCTTGCCCGCGGGTGAGGGTCTGGCATGCAAATGAGGCTGCGGAGAGGGAGGGGCGGGGCTTGTCATGCAGATGAGCCCGGGCCTGGTCCCGGATTGGCTGGCGGGCAGGGGCGGGGCTCACCGCAGGCTGTGGGGCGCGGTGCAGAGGTGCAGCGGGGCGCAGCCGTCCGCGCTGAGCACGTTGGGGTTGGCGCCGAAGTCCAGGAGCAGTTGGGTGCAGGCGGGGTCGGGGGCGGCCGCGCTGTCGTGCAATGGGGCCCGGCCCCCCACCACCGCGTCCACCGCGGCCCCGCGCAGCAGCAGCAGCCGGGCGCAGGCCACGAAGCCGCGGGCGCACACGATGCGCAGCGCCGAGGTCTGCTGGAGCCGGGGGCTCAGCACCCACAGCCCTGCGGGGGGACCGGGTCAGACCCGCACACACCGGGGGGGGGCCCAACAGCCTCCAGCCCCAACCTGGGGGGAGCAGAACTGGAGGCCCAGGGCACCCAGCACCCAGCACCCCGCATTAGAGCGGTGGGAAGGGAGAAGGGAGGGAAGGGACAAGACAGGGAATGGAAGGGAGAAGGAAGAAGGAAGGGAAGGGAGAAGGAAGGGAAGGGAAGGGAGAAGGAAGGGAAGGGAGAAGGAAGGGAAGGGAAGGGAGAAGGCAGGGAAGGGAAGGGAGAAGGCAGGGAAGGGAGAGGAGAAGGCAGGTAAGGGAGAGGAGAAGGCAGGGAAGGGAGAGGAGAAGGCAGGGAAGGGAGAGGAGAAGGCAGGGAAGGGAGAGGAGAAGGCAGGGAAGGGAGAGGAGAAGGAAGGGAAGGGAGAGGAGAAGGAAGGGAAGGGAGAAGGAAGGCAAGGAGGAAGGAAAAACAAGAAGGGAAGGGCAAAGGGCCCCCATAGCCCCAGCCCTGTACCCTGCTCTGGTGCCCACACCAGCTCCTCGCTGCCCATCTCCATGACCATGTTGGCGCTGCTCTCATCGCTGAAGATGCTCTTGACGCGCTGCAGGTCCCCGCTGTACAGGGCGTTGTGCACGGCAGGGTCCCGGCAGCACCGGGGCCGCGGGGGCTCGGGCAGGATGCGGCGCGTGGCCCGGTCCCGAGCCAGTGCCCGGCGCCGCTCCTCCTGCTCCAGCAGCTCCCGCTGCAGCCGCAGCGACCGCAGCGCCGAGGAGCTGAAGGCGAAGGTGTCCTGGGCCATGGGGCACTCAGCTGCCTCCGGCCCCGGGGGACAGGGGTGGTGGTGTTATAAATAGGGCCCGGCCCCACAGCAACGCTGAACCCAGGGCCTGAGCCAGCCCTATAAATAACTGCCCGGGTGGTAAACAGGGGCACGCTGCCAGAGCCTGGAGCCTGCTGGGGGGTCAGAGCCGGGTACCCCCAACATGGTGGGGCTGCAGGAGCCCTGGGGGGCAGAGGGATGTCCCCAGGGGTGGGTCTGGGGGGCTGCAGCACAACAGGGAGGGGGGACACAGACACAGGAGCAGACAGTGCAATGCAGGGATAGAACAGCCCTTTAATGGGGGGTTAGGCTGGATAGAGAACACACAGGGAAAGGAGCAGCCGGGGCAGCACCTGCTCAGCATCCTCAGCACGGCCCAGCCCAGGCCATGGTGCAGCCCTGGGGTCAGCAGCAGTCAGCTTGGGCTGGAGCAGAGAAGAAATCCTCCGGGAGCTCCCCCAGGAGCCCGTCCAGGTCATCTGCATGGCACAGGGGGATGGAGCGCGCTGGTTTGCACACGCACAGAGCAGGGATCGCTCCGTCTCCATGGACATGGGAGGGGAGATGCTGCCCAAGCCCAGGACCTGTTCAAATCCAACTCACCTACATCATAGCCTCCAGCTCCCTCTGGCTCTTCCTGCCCAGCTGCCTGCTCTGTGCCGTGGGGCCTCGAGTGTCCCCCCCAGTGACCAGGGGCAGGGACACCGCGGGGGGGCTCTGTGGGGTGCGCTGGGGCATGAGGAGGCACCTGCAGAACCAAATGGAGAGGAGAACCATAGGGGACCCACGGGGGGGAGGTCCCGGCACCCAATGAGCACCGGCTCCCCTCTCACCTCCTGCCGTGCTGGTGATGGCTGTGAGAAGCTGGCCTCGGGCTCTGCTGGGTAGATCTTGAGCAGGTTGTTGGGGGTGACGTTGAGGTAGTGGTTGCGGTGGGATGGGGAGAACACACCCACCTGTGAGGAGAGAGCCGTGGGGCAGAGCCAGGGCTCCAGCATCCCCGGGATGTGCCCAGGGTCAGGAACAGCCCCAAGCCCTCGCTGCTGCTCTGCTGTCTCCCACCTGCCTCAGGAGCAGCACGGAGCCCGGCCGGAGCTCGCTCTGTCTCTCCTCCAGCAGCAGGCGATGCACCGTGCCCTGCATCTCCCCTGTGGGCAGGAGGGGAGCCATCAGCCATAGGGAGCAATGGGCAAGAGGAGCCTCAGCCCAGGCACATCCACACGAACCGGTTGGGTCCCGGAACACAGCAGCAGCATCAGCGTTGGTCCTGGTCAGGGTCCTGATCATCACGGCCATGCTGGGGACCTTGTTCCTGGGGAGCTGCTTCAAGGCTGCCTGCAGAGATCCTCCTGTTGCACCAGTGTCCCCATAGGGCCACAGGACCAGCCCAGCACCTCCCCACAGCTCCAGTGGGGAGCCGGGGGCTCTCTCACCTTCCGCAGCACCATGATCACACTGTAGGTGCGGAGGAAGCAGCCGGGGTCCCTCTCATCCAGCTCCAGCTCTGTTTTCATGGTGAGCCAGGGCCCCTTCCCGAAATCCTCCTCTGTGGGCAGCGAGGAGCTGGGCATGCCCTGGAGTCACAGCACAACCAGTCACAGCGGGGGGGAGCTCTGGGGACCTCCCCCAAACACACAGTGCTGGGATTCAAACACGGATCTGCACTGGAGCTATGGAGCAGGGGAATGGCACAGGGTGCCCAGAGAAGCTGTGGCTGCCCCATCCCTGGCAGTGTTCAAGGTCAGGTTGGACACAGGGGCTTGGAGCAAGCTGCTCTAGTGGAAGGGGTCCCTGCCTGTGGCAGGGGCTGGAGCTGGATGAGCTTTATGGTTCTTTCCAACCCAAACCATTCCATGATTCTATGGAGCAGGGAATTACCTCTGTCTGCGGCTTTGCCATGGCCCCGTGACACGGAATTTGGGGAGCAGAAATGAGGATCTCCTCCAGCAGCTTCCCAGCGTGCTTATGGGAGAGGCAGGAAGAGGTAGATGGAGCTTTGCACCTCTTCACCACCTCCTCCCATCCCATCCCATCCCATCCCATCCCATCCCATCCCATCCCATCCCACTCCATGTCCCCGCACCCACCTGCTGGGGCAGGATCCCAGCGGGCCCTGGGAACCGCCGGGTCTTGCCCTGCGCTGGCGGCCGGGGGGCAGCCCCCGGTGCTTTGCTGGCCGCTGCCACCAACTGCACGAGGTGGTTGGTGACCACCGGGCTCTGCAGCGCCGAGGGGCAGGGGGGGGCCTGAGGGGGTTGCGGCCCCCGTGGCTCCATGGGGGGGCTCCCGGTTCCCGCCTGGTGCGGGGGGGCTTGGAAAGGCCTCGGGGATGGAGCCGCGGGAGCGGGGATGCAGCCCCGGGGCTTTCCCATGGGGACGGGGGGCGCGGGGGGGCAGGTCCCGGCCGCGCTGGGCCGCAGCCCCAGCCTGGGCGCTGCCTGGGGGGCAGAGGGGGGGCCCGGCCCCGCTCCCTCCCGCGGCCTCTTGAGGGCCCCCGATTCCCGGGGGCGCCGCTCCCCGCGCTCGGGGCCCTCCAGGAGGAGGCCGGGGCCCGGCGCATCCCGCGGGGCCGGGGGGCTCCGGCAGCCCCCGGCCAGGGGCCGCAGCGCGGGGCCGGGGCGGTGCTGCGGGGGCTGAGCTCCGGGAGCGCCGTGGCTCAGGGATGGGGCTCCGGGAGCCAGGAACCGGTTCTCGGCGTCCTCCACGGCCGAGAGGAAATCCTGCGGGAGGAGAGGGCTCCGGCACCCGGCAGCACAAAACAGCCCCGAGCCGGCACCGGGGCCAGGCCGGTGCTGCCCCTGCTGAGCACCACGGCCCATGTCCCGCATCCCGCATCCCACGTCCCATAGCGCATGGGTCAAGTCCCATTCCCCATATCCCACGTCCCATAGCGCGTGGGTCAAGTCCCATTCCCCATATCCCACGTCCCATAGCGCGTGGGTCAAGTCCCATTCCCCATATCCCACGTCCCATAGCGCGTGGGTCAAGTCCCATTCCCCATATCCCACGTCCCATAGCGCGTGGGTCAAGTCCCATTCCCCATATCCCACGTCCCATAGCGCGTGGGTCAAGTCCCATTCCCCATATCCCACGTCCCATAGCGCGTGGGTCAAGTCCCATTCCCCATATCCCACGTCCCATAGCGCATGGGTCAAGTCCCATTCCCCATATCCCACGTCCCATAGCGCATGGGTCAAGTCCCATTCCCCATATCCCACGTCCCACAGCGCATGGGTCAAGTCCCATTCCCCATATCCCACAGCCAATGTCCCATGCCCCACGTCCCACATCCCACATTGCATGTCCCATGTCCAAAGTCCCATAACCCATATCCTACATCCCATGTCATACATCCCATGTCCCACAACCCATACCAGTGTCCCGTAACCCATATCCTACATCCCATGCACACATCTCACATCACATATTCCACATTCCATGTCTCATGTCCCATGCCCCACATCCCATATCCAGTGTCCCATGCCCCACACCCCATGTCCCACAACCCATATCCAACATCCAATAACCCATATCCTACATCCCATGTCCTGCATCTCACATCCTACATCCCATGCCCCACATCCCATTGTACATTGGTTAACCCTGTATCAATATTCCACATTCCACATCTCATGTCCCATGCCCCACAACCCATATCCAACATCCCATACCCCACGTTTCCACCCCATGTCCCACACTCCATACCCCACGTTTCCACCCCGTGTCCCACGTCCCATACCCCACGTTTCCATCCCATGTCCCACATCCCATACCCCACAACCAGTCCCATGTCCCACACCCCATACCCCACGTTTCCACGCCATGTCCCACATCCCATACCCCACGTTTCCATCCCATGTCCCACGTCCCACACCCCACGTTTCCACGCCATGTCCCACATCCCATACCCCACGTTTCCATCCCATGTCCCACGTCCCATACCCCACGTTTCCATCCCATGTCCCACACCCCATACCCCACGTTTCCATCCCATGTCCCACACCCCATACCCCACGTTTCCATCCCATGTCCCACACCCCATACCTCACGTTTCCATCCCATGTCCCACGTTCCACACTCCACGTTTCCATCCCATGTCCCACACCCCATACCTCACGTTTCCATCCCATGTCCCACGTTCCACACTCCACGTTTCCATCCCATGTCCCACACCCCATACCTCACGTTTCCATCCCATGTCCCACGTTCCACACTCCACGTTTCCATCCCATGTCCCACACCCCATACCCCACGTTTCCACCCCGTGTCCCACGGCCCATACCCCACGTTTCCACCCCATACCCCACGTTTCCACCCCATGTCCCACACCCCATACCCCACGTTTCCACCCCATACCCCACGTTTCCATGCCATGTCCCACACCCCATACCCCACAACCCGTCCCATGTCCCACACCCATACCCCACGTTTCCACCCCATGTCCCACACCCCATACCCCACAACCCGTCCCATGTCCCACGTGCCCCCCTCACCTCATCCTCCAGGTCCCCGAACAGCCTCTGGAGCCCGCAGGCCTGCGGGAGGCGAGAACCGGGCCCTGTGGGACCCCGGCGGGGCCCTGCTCCAGCCCCGCCCCACGGCGGCCGCAGCCCCCGGGGCCCCTCAGCGGAGCCCGGACCCACCATGGGGCCGAGCGCACCCCACGGGCAGCCCAAAGCCCCCCCCCCGTCCCGGTCCCGTTACCGTTACCATGGCAGCGGCGCGGAAGGCGGAAGCGACCGGGGCCGGACGCGAACCCGCGGCCCTGGGGCGGGGGCAGCGGCGGGAACGGCCCCTTTAAGGAGCAGCGGCCCCTGCCGGTGGGAGGAGCGCGGCGGCGCCTCTTAAAGGGCCAGAGCCCCGCGTCCGGCCCTGGCGTGACTGCGAGTGTGAGTGTGAGCATGAGTGTGAGTGTGAGTGTGTGAGTGTATGAACGAGTGTGAGCATGAGTGTGAGTGTGAGTGTGAGTGTGTGTGAGTGTGAGTGTATGAACGAGTGTGAGTGTGAGCATGACTGTGAGTGTGAGTGTGAGTGTATGAACGAGTGTGAGTGTGAGTGTGAGTGTATGAACGAGTGTGAGCATGAGTGTGAGTGTGAGTGTGAGTGTATGAACGAGTGTGAGCATGAGTGTGAGCGTGAGTGTGAGTGTGAGTGTATGAATTAGTGTGAGTGTGAGCATGACTGTGAGTGTGAGTGTATGAACGAGTGTGAGCGTGACAGTGTGTGTGAGTGTGAGTGTATGAACGAGTGTGAGCATGAGTGTGAGTGTGAGTGTGAGTGTGTGTGAGTGTGAGTGTATGAACGAGTGTGAGTGTGAGCATGACTGTGAGTGTGAGTGTGAGTGTATGAACGAGTGTGAGTGTGAGTGTGAGTGTATGAACGAGTGTGAGCATGAGTGTGAGTGTGAGTGTGAGTGTATGAACGAGTGTGAGCATGAGTGTGAGCGTGAGTGTGAGTGTGAGTGTATGAATTAGTGTGAGTGTGAGCATGACTGTGAGTGTGAGTGTATGAACGAGTGTGAGCGTGACAGTGTGTGTGAGTGTGAGTGTATGAACGAGTGTGAGCATGAGTGTGAGTGTGAGTGTGAGTGTATGAACGAGTGTGAGCATGACTGTGAGTGTGTGAGTGTATGAACGAGTGTGAGCATGAGTGTGAGTGTGAGTGTGAGTGTATGAACGAGTGTGAGCATGAGTGTGAGTGTGAGTGTGAGTGTGTGTGAGTGTGAGTGTATGAACGAGTGTGAGTGTGAGCATGACTGTGAGTGTGAGTGTGAGTGTATGAACGAGTGTGAGTGTGAGTGTGAGTGTATGAACGAGTGTGAGCATGAGTGTGAGTGTGAGTGTGAGTGTATGAACGAGTGTGAGCATGAGTGTGAGCGTGAGTGTGAGTGTGAGTGTATGAATTAGTGTGAGTGTGAGCATGACTGTGAGTGTGAGTGTATGAACGAGTGTGAGCGTGACAGTGTGTGTGAGTGTGAGTGTATGAACGAGTGTGAGCATGAGTGTGAGTGTGAGTGTGAGTGTATGAACGAGTGTGAGCATGACTGTGAGTGTGTGAGTGTATGAACGAGTGTGAGCATGAGTGTGAGTGTGAGTGTGAGTGTATGAACGAGTGTGAGCATGACTGTGAGTGTGAGTGTATGAACGAGTGTGAGCATGACTGTGAGTGTGAGTGTGAGTGTGAGTGTGTGTATGAACGAGTGTGAGCATGAGTGTGAGTGTATGAACGAGTGTGAGCGTGAGTGTGAGTGTATGAACGAGTGTGAGCATGAGTGTGAGTGTGAGTGTATGAACGAGTGTGAGCATGACTGTGAGTGTGAGTGTATGAACGAGTGTGAGCATTGTGTGAGTGTATGAATGAGTGGGAGCATGAGTGTGACTGTGTGTATGAACGAGTGTGAGCATGACTGTGAGTGTGAGTGTATGAACGAGTGTGAGCATGACTGTGAGTGTGAGTGTATGAACGAGTGTGAGTGTGAGTGTATGAACGAGTGTGAGTGTGAGTGTATGAACGAGTGTGAGTGTGAGTGCACACGAGTGTGCAACTGCACACCAGTCGGGCACACGTTCACACACCCATGGTGCACACACACACGTGTGTTAATGCCTAGGTGCACACTCGCATGTGCTCTCACATGTGCACGAGTGCACAGCAGCACAGTGCACACTTGCACGTGTCTGCACACAACATTTAGTGCGCACTTGCACACACGCACGTGCCATTGCACACCAGTCCTTGAGACACACTCACATGCGTTCTCGCGTGTGTACGGTACACACTCCCATCTGTGCTAGTGCGCAGCAGCACACAGGGCACACACAGGTGTCAGTGCACACTCACACATGCTCTCATGTGTTTGCACACCAGCCCATTGCACACTCACACACACACGTGTCAGTGCACACTCACACACATGCTCTCATGTGTTTGCACACCAGCCCATTGCACACTCACACACACACGTGTCAGCGCACACACACACACATGCTCTCATGTGTTTGCACACCAGCCCATTGCACACTCACACACACACGTGTCAGTGCACACTCACACACATGCTCTCATGTGTTTGCACACCAGCCCATTGCACACTCACACACACACGTGTCAGCGCACACACTCACACATGCTCTCATGTGTTTGCACACCAGCCCATCGTACACTCACTCACACACGTATCAGTGCACACACACACATGCTCTCATGTGTTTGCACACCAGCCCATCGTACACTCACTCACACACACGTGTCAGTGCACGCTCACACACATGCTCTCATGTGTTTGCACACCAGCCCATTGCACACTCACACACACACACGTGTCAGTGCACACTCACACAGATGCTCTCATGTTTGCCCACCAGCCCATTGCACACTCACACACACACACGTGTCAGTGCACACTCACACACATGCTCTCATGTTTGCACACCAGCCCATTGCACACTCACACACACACGTGTCAGTGCACACTCACACACATGCTCTCATGTTTGCACACCAGCCCATTGCACACTCACACACACACGTGTCAGCGCACACACACACACATGCTCTCATGTGTTTGCACACCAGCCCATTGCACACACACACACACACGTGTCAGTGCACACTCACACACACACATGCTCTCATGTGTTTGCACACCAGCCCATTGCACACTCACACACACACACACGTGTCAGTGCACACTCACACACACATGCCCTCATGTGTTTGCACACCAGACCATTGCACACACACACACACACACAGGTGTCAGTGCACACTCACACACATTCTCTCATGTGTTTGCACACCAGCCCATTGCACACACACACGTGTCAGTGCACACTCACACACACACATGCTCTCATGTGTTTGCACACCAGCCCATTGCACACACACACACGTGTCAGTGCACACTCACACACATGCTCTCATGTGTTTGCACACCAGCCCATTGCACACTCACACACACACACGTGTCAGTACACGCTCACACACATGCTCTCATGTGTTTGCACACCAGCCCATTGCACACTCACACACACACGTGTCAGTGCACACTCACACACATGCTCTCATGTGTTTGCACACCAGCCCATTGCACACTCACACACACACACGTATCAGTGCACACTCACACACATGCTCTCATGTGTTTGCACACCAGTCCATTGCACACTCACACACACACGTGTCAGTGCACACTCACACACATGCTCTCATGTGTTTGCACACCAGCCCATTGCACACTCACTCACACGTGTCAGTGCACACACACACACATGCTCTCATGTGTTTGCACACCAGCCCATTGCACACTCACTCACACACACACACGTGTCAGCGCACACTCACACACACATGCTCTCATGTGTTTGCACACCAGCCCATTGCACACTCACACACACACACACGTGTCAGCGCACACTCACACACATGCTCTCATGTTTGCACACCAGCCCATTGCACACACACACACGTGTCAGTGCACGCTCACACACATGCTCTCATGTTTGCACACCAGCCCATTGCACACACACACACGTGTCAGTGCACACTCACACACATGCTCTCATGTTTGCACACCAGCCCATTGCACACACACACACACGTGTCAGTGCACACTCACACACATGCTCTCATGTGTTTGCACACCAGCCCATTGCACACTCACACACACACACGTGTCAGTGCACGCTCACACACATGCTCTCATGTGTTTGCACACCAGCCCATTGCACACTCACACACACACACGTGTCAGTGCACACTCACACACATGCTCTCATGTGTTTGCACACCAGCCCATTGCACACTCACACACACACGTGTCAGTGCACGCTCACATACATGCTCTCATGTTTGCACGCCAGCCCATTGCGCACACACACACACGTGTCAGTGCACACTCACACATATGCTCTCATGTGTTTGCCCACCAGCCCATTGCACACTCACTCACACACACGTGTCAGCGCACACTCACACACATGCTCTCATGTGTTTGCACACCAGCCCATTGCACACTCACACATACACCTGTCAGTGCACACTCACACATGCTCTCATGTGTTTGCACACCAGACCATTGCACACTCACACACACACGTGTCAGTGCACACTCACACACATTCTCTCATGTGTTTGCACACCAGCCCATTGCACACACACACACACACACACGTGTCAGTGCACGCTCACACACATGCTCTCATGTTTGCACACCAGACCATTGCACACTCACACACACGTGTCAGTGCACACACACACATGCTCTCATGTGTTTGCACACCAGCCCATTGTACACTCACACTCACACACGTGTCAGTGCACACTCACACACACACAATGGTGTGCCATTGTACACTCACACCTTGTCACGTGCCTTTGCACACTCGGTCACGTGCGGTTGCACGCCCGGGGCTGTGTTTTCGGGGGGGGGGGGGGGCAGTGTCTATTTTTAGAGCGCGGGCCCCGTCACGTGACGGCGAGTGACGTCACCGAATGTTGTTGTCGGGGCGGGCGGGGCCGCGCGGCAAAGATGGAGGAGGGGCGGCGGCGCGCGCGCGGGGCGGGCAGCGGCCAGGTACGGGGTGGGGGGGGCAATGGGGGGCTATGGGGGGGCCGTTCCATAGGGCGGCCATGGGGGGGGTCTGGGCTATGGGGGGCAGCGCTATGGGGCGTCCGTGCTGTTTGGGGGGGGGGGGCTTTGCAATGGGGGGTTTTGGAATTGGGGGTGCGGGGGGGGGCACTGCAGCGCCGGGACCCATCGTGTGTGCCCCCAGCCCCCTTCCCTGCGGGTCTGTGCGTGCGTGACCCCCCCGTGGGGCTGGGTCCGGGCCCGCTGCGGTGCAGGGGGGGTCACCCGTGTCCCTATGGGCTGTGCGTGCCCCCCCGTTCCAATGCGGAGCCTTGTGTAACCCCCCCCCCCGTGCCCCCCGTCCCCTGCGGGCACCCCTCGAACCCGCACCCCCTTCCAGGGGGCCGCATCCTGCCCGTCCTCGGCGCTGGGACCCCATTGCTTGGCTTTGGGGGGGGGGGGGGGTGTCCGGGCTCGGGGGGGGGCCGCGGTGCTGACGCCGGGTCCCGCAGGGCTCCCGTTCCCCGCGGGCGCAGTCCTGGCGCTGACGGCACCACCGGAGCGCGGCCCCCCCGGCACCATGGAGCCCCCGAGTGATGCAGGTGAGAGCAACGGGGGGGCCGCAGCGGTGCAGCCCCGTTGGAGCCCCGTCCATCCCCGTGCAGCCCCGTCCCGTTGTATGTGTGGGGTCGTGGTCCCGGTCCCCCCCCCGGGCTGTCGGGTGTCGGCCCCGTCGCCTTGCGCCGTTGGTGCCGCTGTGGTGCGAGACGGGCGCTGGGCACGGTGCCGGAGCCCCCATCCCGTGGGTCCCGGAGCTCCGGCATCCATGGGGGGAGGCTGAGGCAGGGGCCGGTCACAGCATCCTGAATCGTGTTGGATGTGGGGGTGTCGGGACACGGGGTGACCCCCCCCGGTGGCACCCGCCACGTGGACCGGCTGCCACCAGCTCCTTCTCGAAGCCACCCTGTCATTATCCCAATGGGAATGCCGGTGGCATCCGGACACGTGGGACCCTGCGCATTGTGGTGCATGGGGCAGCTGGAGCCAGGGGCTCACTGGTGGATGGGATGGGATGGGGATGTGGGGGTGTCCCCAGACCCCCCCCCCCCGTTATCCACCCACTGCTTTTGCTGGATCATTGCCCGGCACGGGGCTGGCGCGTGGTGCGATGGGGACACAGCCCGGCCCTCCCGCTCCATCCCCGGGCAGGTCAGGGGCTGCTCCCGTGGGATGAGGCCCTTCGGCTGCAGTCAGGGGTTGCGCTGGTCTCAGGGGCACTCGACAGAGGGGTCCCCAGTTGCTCTTTGGGAATCCCTTTGGATGCTCCATGCCCCATAGGGCTCTCCCCAAAGCTCAGCTGCACCAGGATGTTCCCACGGGACTGAGCACCCCCCCCCCCCCAGCTCCTCCACCCCTGTTGGGGTCCCCGTTGTCCCCCTCATCCCAGCACACAGATGTGCACCACATCTGGATGGGGCTGCGCATCCCCGCTCCCTGCCTGCTCCCATCTCCCTGCCCGGGTCCAGCACGGGGGGGGGGCCACCCCGGTGGCCTCCTGCCCGCAGCAGCACCAGGAATAGCCGGGCTGACGTCAACCCCCAGCGCCGGGGGGGCCCAGGCCAGAAATATCCCAGTTATTAAAAGCCTTGGCTTGGGATGAGCGTCCCGGTAAATAAACGTGGCTCCTGCCCATGGGGGGGTCCCCACCTCACCCCATCATCACCCCCCCCGCTATGGGTCACTGATGTCAGTGCTGAGTCCATGTTTGTGCCCCCCTCCATGCTGAGACCCCCCCATCTTTAGTGGGGGTCGCATTGGGAAGTGGGGGGGGGGCATTGCCTATCCCAGGGTTCATTCCCAGCAGCGCTGATTGGGGTTGGCATCCCCAGCAATGAGGGGCTGGGGGGGTGGGATGGGGCGGGGGGGGTTTGGGGCTGTGTGTTAGGTGGGGGTCATGGTGCTCCCTATCCTATGGGACACATCCTGGTCCCCCCCCCAGAGCCCTGTCTATAACTGGCTGTTCCCAGGCACTGGAGCGATGAGCCTGGCTTGGGGGGGTGCAGCATTGCTCTGCTCAGGATGGACCCCTCCTCACTGGGGGGATGCTCGGTGGCTCCTGGCTGCCCTATGGAAGGGGGTGGCTGGTTCGGGGGGGTTGAGGCTGGTTTGGGGCCCCCCATAATGTCTGCCTATGGGGCCATGGGGCTGTTTCTCTGCAGAGGGGGGGTCTGGCCATGAGCCTTCCCTGGAGCTCCTGTCCCACACCCAGCTCCTGCCGGGCCCAGGTGAGTGGGGGGGGTTCCTGTTCCCCCCTCTCTGCCCCCCCAAACCCAGCCTGCCCCCCACTGTTGGTGTATGGGAGTGTGCAAGGAGGCGGGTGCCCCATGGCAGGGCCCCGGGGGTGGGCAGGAGGGGGAACAAGGAGGGTCCCAGCTCTCCCTCTCTGTGTCCCCATGACCCACAGGACCCCCAACCCTAGGGCTGGGATAGACTGGGAGGTGCTGGTTGGTCTGTGGGGTGCTGGTTGGTCTGTGGGGTGCTGGTTGGTCTGTGGGTGCTGGTTGGTCTATGGGGGTGCTGGTTGGTCTATGGGTGCTGGTTGGTCTGTGGGTGCTGGTTGGTCTATGGGTTCTGATTGGTCTGTGGGTGCTGGTTTGTCTATGGGTTCTGGTTGGTCTATGGGTGCTGGTTGGTCTATGGGTTCTGGTTGGTCTATGGGTGCTGGTTGGTCTATGGGTTCTGGTTGGTCTATGGGTGCTGGTTGGTCTATGGGTGCTGGTTGGTCTATGGGTGCTGGTCTGTGGGTGCTGGTTTGTCTATGGGTGCTGGTTGGTCTGTGGGTGCTGGTTTGTCTATGGGTGCTGGTTGGTCTGTGGGTGCTGGTTGGTCTATGGGTGCTGGTTGGTCTATGGGTGCTGGTTGGTCTATGGGTGCTGGTCTGTGGGTGCTGGTTTGTCTATGGGTGCTGGTTGGTCTGTGGGTGCTGGTTTGTCTATGGGTGCTGGTTGGTCTGTGGGTGCTGGTTGGTCTATGGGTGCTGGTTGGTCTATGGGTTCTGGTTGGTCTGTGGGTGCTGGTTGGTCTATGGGTGCTGGTTGGTCTGTGGGTGCTGGTTGGTCTGTGGGTGCTGGTTGGTCTGTGGGTGCTGGTTGGTCTATGGGTTCTGGTTGGTCTGTGGGTGCTGGTTTGTCTATGGGTTCTGGTTGGTCTGTGGGTGCTGGTTGGTCTGTGGGTGCTGGTTGGTCGATGGGTTCTGGTTGGTCTGTGGGTGCTGGTTTGTCTATGGGTGCTGGTTGGTCTATGGGGGTTCTGGTTGGTCGATGGGTGCTGGTTGGTCTATGGGGGTTCTGGTTGGTCCATGGGTGCTGGTTTGTCTATGGGTGCTGGTTGGTCTGTGGGGGGGTCATTGAGGGGGGCCAGTGACAAGCACCAATGTCAGTTCCCGATGTGCAGGAGTGGGGGGGGGGGGGGCAGGGGTTTCATCAACCCCACCCCCATTTCTGGGGTGTGTGTGTGTGTGACCCCTCCAAAGCCAGGTCCTGTAACCTGCCCCCCCCTTCCCCCTCAGTGTTGTGGGGGGCTCAATCTCCCCCCCATTGGTGCATGTTGTAAATGGGGCTCAGCTCAGGGTGCCCCTGGTTGGGGCTGCGGGGCTCACCCAGAGCATTGGGCTCTGATAGGAGGGGGCTGATCCCTGACAACCCAACCTCCCCCCCATTGCCCCCCCCCCAATGGCCCCTGAGCCCCCTCAGAGCCCGCTGGGTGCGGCAGGGCCGGAGGCGCCGGGGCCGGTGCTGGCGGCGGCGGCGCGGGAGCGGCAGCTGCAGCGGGAGCTGGAGGCCCTGAGGCAGCAGCAGCAGCTCCAGAAGCAGCTCCTGTTCGCCGAGTTCCAGAAGCAGCACGAGCACCTCACGCGCCAGCACGAGGCGCAGCTCCAGAACCACCTCAAGGTGCGCGCCGGCGGGATGGAGGCGTGGGGCATTGACTGTCCGGGGTGAGGGAGCCGTTGGGGTGGTGGAGAGTTGGGGTGTTGACTGTGTGGGGTGATGGAGGTGTGGGGTATTGCTTGTCTGTGGTGATGGAGCCGTTGGGGTGGTGGAGATGTGGGACATTACGAGTCTGTGGTGATGGAGTCGTCACGGTGATGGAGATGTGGGGTGTCGTGTCTGGGTTGATGGAGCCATTGGGGGAGATGGAGGAGGTGATGGAGATGTGGGCTGTTGACTCTCAGGGTGCTGGTGGGATTGGGGGTGATGGGGCTGGAGCTGGAGGGCATCACCTGTCTGGGGGAGTGGAGCATCTGGGGCGAGATTGGGCGTGATGGAGCCTTTGGAGTGACGGAGATTGATGGAGCTGGAGAGCATCACCTGGCCATGGTGGTGGAGCCATTGGAGGGAGATTGGGGGTGATGGGGATATGGGACGTCACCGATCTGGGGTGGTGGAGCTGTTGGGGAGGTTAGGAGGGTGATGGAAATGTGGGGCACTGAGCGGGGTGCTGGAGCCATTGGATGGAGACTGGTGGTGCTGGAGCCATGGGGCGGGATTGGTGGTGCTGGAGCCATGGGGCGGGATTGGTGGTGCTGGAGCCATGGGGCAGGACTGGTGGTGCTGGAGCCATGGGGCTGCACCGGTGGCTCCAGCGCGGTGCTGAGGTCCCGCTGCGGGGCAGCAGCAGCAGCAGGAGGCTCTGGCCGCGCGCCGGCAGCAGGAGCTGGAGCAGCAGCGGCAGCGGGAGCGGCAGGAGCTGGAGCAGCAGCGCCTGGAGCAGCTGCGCAAGGACCGCGGCCGGGACAGTGAGCGGGGGGTGCCCAGAGGGTCCCACTGGGTCCTATGGGGTCCTATGGGAGGATCCTGGGGGGTTTCCAGGGGGCTGGGAGCAGAGGTGGTGGCTGCTGGCAGTGGGGGTTGGGGGCTGTTACGGGGGGCTGGGGGGGCTTGGGGTGCAGTGGGGCTAGGGGGGTCTGTGCTGTGTCCCCCAACCCCAGTGTCCCCCCCAGGCGCCATCGCCAGCACGGAGGTGAAGCTGAAGCTCCAGGAGTTCCTGCTCAGCAAAACGAAGGAGCCGGGCACGGCCCCCCCCAACCATTCCCTCCCCCAGCACCCCACTTGTTGGTGGGTGCCCCCCTGCACCTCCCCAGGCCCCTCTTGGGGGGGGGGGGGGGGCGTGCTCCCCATGGGAGCAGGTATCATGTGATGCATGGGTGGTGCAGACCAATGGGCTCTGTATCCCCCATCGCCCCAGGGCCCATCACACGTCGTTGGACCAGAGCTCCCCCCCCCAGACGGGCAGCCCCGGGACCCCCCCATCCTATCGCCCCCCCCTGCTTGGGACGTACGATTCCCGGGATGATTTCCCGCTCCGCAAGACCGGTGGGTGCTGGGACAGGGGTGGATGGGGGGATGCAGGGACACGGGGATGCAGGGATAGGGGGATGCAGGGATATGGGGATGCAGGGACACGGGGATGCAGGGATAGGGGGATGCAGGGATATGGGGATGCAGGGATACGGGGATGCAGGGACACGGGGATGCAGGGACACGGGGATGCAGGGATACGGGGATGCAGGGATACGGGGATGCAGGGATATGGGGATGCAGGGGTATGGGGATGCAGGGGTATGGGGATGCAGGGATATGGGGATGCAGGGATAGGGGGATGCAGGGATATGGGGATGCAGGGGTATGGGGATGCAGGGGTATGGGGATGCAGGGATATGGAGATGCAGGGATAGGGGGATGCAGGGGTATGGGGATGCAGGGATATGGAGATGCAGGGATATGGGGATGCAGGGGTATGGGGATGCAGGGGTATGGGGATGCAGGGATATGGAGATGCAGGGATAGGGGGATGCAGGGGTATGGGGATGCAGGGATAGGGGGATGCAGGGATAGGGGGATGCAGGGATAGGGGGATGCAGGGATATGGGGATGCAGGGGTATGGGGATGCAGGGATATGGAGATGCAGGGATAGGGGGATGCAGGGGTATGGGGATGCAGGGGTATGGGGATGCAGGGATATGGAGATGCAGGGGTATGGGGATGCAGGGGTATGGGGATGCAGGGATACAGGCCCCCCCTGGCTGATGTGTGCCCCCCCCAGCGTCGGAGCCCAACCTGAAGGTCCGCTCCCGGCTGAAGCAGAAGGTGGCCGAGCGCCGGAGCAGCCCCTTGCTGCGCAGGAAGGACGGAGCCGTGCTCAGCGCCTGCAGGAAGAGAACCGTGGAGATCACGGGTGAGCAGGAACGGGAGAATGGGAGCTGTGAGGGTGATGAGAGCAGTGGGAGCAAAGGGAGCCATGGGGGTGGTGAGAGCAGTGGGAGCAAAGGGAGCCATGGGGGTGGTGAGAGCAAAGGGTGCTGTGGGGGTGATGAGAGCAATGGGAGCAAAGGGAGCCTTGGGGGTGATGAGAGCAATGGGAGCCATGGGAGCAAAGGGAGCTATGGGGGTGATGAGAGCAATGGGAGCCATGGGAGCAAAGGGAGCTATGGGAGCAAAGGGAGCTATGGGGGTGATGAGAGCAATGGGAGCCATGGGAGCAAAGGGAGCCGTGGGGGTGATGAGAGCAAAGGGAGCTATGGGGGTGATGAGAGCAATGGGAGCAAAGGGAGCCGTGGGGGTGATGAGAGCAATGGGAGCTATGGGAGTAAAGGGAGCTATAGGGGTGATGAGAGCTATGGGAGCAAAGGGAGCTATAGGGGTGATGAGAGCAATGGGAGCCGAGGGAGCCGTGGGGGTGATGAGAGCAATGGGAGCCATGGGAGCAAAGGGAGCCATGGGGGTGATGAGAGCAATGGGAGCCATGGGAGCAAAGGGAGCTATAGGGGTGATGAGAGCAATGGGAGCTGAGGGAGCCGTGGGGGTGATGGGTGTGATGGGAGCCCATGGAAGCCGTGGGAGTGCTGGGAGCTGTTGGAGTGATGAGAGCCATTGGAGCCTTGGGTATGGTGAGAGTCATGGAAGTGATGGGAGCCGTGGGAATGATGGGATCATGGGTGCCAGTGTCCCCCTCCTGCTCCCAGCTCCTGCGGCACCTGTGCACGTGTGTGCTTGTGCACGTTCATGCTTGCTCAGCACATCTGCACGCCTGTGGTTGCGTGTGCCTGCACGTACTTGTGCACACGTATGTAACGCGCGCAGGTGTGCTGTGTGTGCACACCTGTAACGTGTGTAACACACGTGTTCCCCCGCAGTGTGCTCCGTGAGCAGCAGCAGCAGCGCCCCCGGCTCCGGGCCCAGCTCCCCCAACAGCTCCCCCAGTGCCGAGAACGGGCTCACGGGCTCCGTGCCCAACATCCCCGCGCAGGTACGGCCACACACGTGTGTGCACGTGTGCGTCATGTGCGCGACACATACGTGTATGCATCATGTGAGCAACATGTACATGTGTGCGTCATGCGAGCAACACGTACATGTATGTGTCATGTGTGCGATGTGTACACGTGTGTGTCGTGAGTGTGTAAATGTGTGCGTCATGTGAGTGACATGTATGCCTATGCATCGTGAGCTGCACACACACGTGCATCATGTGAGTGACATACATGCATCATGTGAGCGACGTGTACACGTGTGTCATGCGAGCGAGGGTGTGCATGTGTGTCATGTGAGCAACACATATACATGTGTGTCATGTGAGCAACACGTACACGTGTGCGTCATGTGAGCGACATACACATGTGTGTCATGTGAGCAACACGTACACGTGTGCATCATGTGAGCGACACATGCATGTGTGTCATGTGAGCGACGTGTGTCATGTGAGTGACATGTACATGTGTGTTATCTGAGCGACATGCATGCATCATGTGAGCGATGTGCTCATGTGTCATGTGAGCGAGGGTGTGCCCATGTGTGTCATGTGAGCAACATGTATATGTGTGCGTCGTGAGCAATACGTGTACATGTGTGCCATGTGAGTGAGGGTGTGCATGTGTTGTGAGCAACATGTACACATATGTGCCATGTGAGCACCGTGTATGCGTGTGCATCATGTGAGCGACATGTACAAGTGTGTGTCATGTGACTGAGCATGTGCACTTGTGTGCTGTTAGCATGCTCAGGGTGTCCACGTGTTCAGATGCATCCAGCCATTGGTATGTGTTGTGCATGCATGCGTCATGTTCCATGTATGCATTTGGTGCTTTCACACATGTATTTGGGTGTGTGCATGTCAGTGGTGTGTCAGTAACGTGTTAATGACGTGTTGCTGACCTGTCACTGGCGTGTCAATAGCATACTGCTGGCGTGTCCATGGCGTGTCAATTGCATGTCCGTGGTGTGTCAGTGGCGTGTCCATGGCATGTCAATGGCGTGTTGATGGCATGTTGATGGCGTGTCAATGGTGTGTCGATGGCATGTCAGTGGCGTGTCGATGGCATGTCAGTGGCGTGTCGATGGCATGTCAGTGGCGTGTCGATGGCATGTCAGTGGCGTGTCGATGGCATGTCAGTGGCGTGTCGATGGCGTGTCGATGGCATGTCAATGGCGTGTCGATGCCATGTCAGGGGCATGTCGATGGCGTGTCAATGGCATGTCGATGGCGTGTCAATGGCATGTTGATGGCGTGTCAATGGCATGTTGATGGCGTGTCAATGGCATGTTGATGGCGTGTCGATGGCATGTTGATGGCGTGTCGATGGCGTGTCAATGGCATGTTGATGGTGTGTCAATGGCGTGTCCCTGGCGTGTCCCTGCAGCAGCTCCTGCCGCAGCCCCGGCCGCTGCCCCTCGATGCCGTGCCCCAGCTCAGCCTCTACACGTCCCCGTCGCTGCCCAACATCTCCCTGGGGCTGCCGGGGCCCGGCCCCCCTCTCCCTGTGAGCAGCACCTGGGGAGGGACAGGACATAGCATCAATAGGGGACCCTATGGGGGGGGGGTGACAGGGACCTGATTGGGTTGCTATGGGGACCCATAGGGGGGCATGGAACATCGTGGGGGGTAGGGACCCCATTGGGTGGGAGCTGGGACCCCATAGGGTTGGTATGGGGAGCCCCTCGGTGGGGGCATGGAGACCTGGGACCCATGGGGTTGCTATGGGGACTCAGGGGGACCTGGGACACTATGGGGGGGGGTGTGTGTGTAGGAATTCCATAGGGTTGCTGTGGGAACCGGTAGTGGGGCTTAGGGACCTGGGATCCCATAGGGTGGGATGGGGACCCACGGCGGAGGCACAGGGACGTGGGGGGGGGGGGCGGACCCGCAGTGTGGGTGGCGCAGGGCGGGGGGGGCTCAGGGGGTCAATGCGGGGACCCCATGGGGGGGGGGGGGGGGGCACTGACTCTGCCCCGCAGGTGGAGCCCGAGCGCGCCCCCCCCGCGCTGCGCCCCGCGCTGCCCGCGCAGCTCCTGAGCGCCCCCTCGCTGCTGGCGGGGGGAGCGGCCCTGGACGGGGACCCCGCGGCCGGCCCCGGGTCGCTGCTGCAGCGGGTGCTGCTGCTGGAACAGGCGCGGCAGCAGAGCGGGCTCCTGGCGGGTGAGTGGGGCACGGAGCGGGACCCCCGCACCGCCCCCCCGGCCCTCACCGGCCCCTCTCCCGCAGTCCCGATCCACGCCCGCCCCGCGCTGGGCCCCGGTGACCGCGCGGGCTCCGTGCGGGCGGTGCCGAAGCTGCCGCGGCACCGGCCCCTCAGCCGCACGCAGTCGTCCCCGCTGCCCCAGAGCCCGCAGGCGCTGCCCCACGGCGCCCTCCAGCACCACTTCCTCGACAAGCAGCAGGTCCCGCTCGGCAAGGTGGGGCTGTGGGGCGCTGTGGCGTGCTTGTGGGGCGCTGTGTGGTGCTATGGGGTGCTTATGGGGTGTTACGGAGCGCTGTGGGGCGTTTATGGGACGCTATGGGGTACTTATAGAGTGCTATGGAACACTGTGGGGTGCTATGGAGTGCTGTGAGGCGTTTATGGAGCGCTGTGGGTTGCTATGGAGTGCTGTGGGTTGCTATGGGGTGCTGTGGAGTGCTGTGGGTTGCTATGGGGTGCTATGGAGTGCTGTGGGTTGCTATGGAGTGCTGTGGGTTGCTATAGAGTGCTGTGGGTTGCTATGGGGTGCTGTGGAGTGCTGTGGGTTGCTATGGGGTGCTGTGGGTTGCTATGGGGTGCTATGGAGTGCTGTGGGTTGCTATGGGGTGCTATGGAGTGCTGTGGGTTGCTATGGGGTGCTATGGAGTGCTGTGGGTTGCTATGGAGTGCTGTGGGTTGCTATAGAGTGCTGTGGGTTGCTATGGGGTGCTGTGGAGTGCTGTGGGTTGCTATGGGGTGCTGTGGAGTGCTGTGGGTTGCTATGGGGTGCTGTGGGTTGCTATGGGGTGCTATGGAGTGCTGTGGGTTGCTATGGAGTGCTGTGGGTTGCTATAGAGTGCTGTGGGTTGCTATGGGGTGCTGTGGAGTGCTGTGGGTTGCTATGGGGTGCTGTGGAGTGCTGTGGGTTGCTATGGGGTGCTGTGGGTTGCTATGGGGTGCTATGGAGTGCTGTGGGTTGCTATGGAGTGCTGTGGTTTGCAATGGGGTGCTATGGGGCGCTGTGGGGTACTATGGGTGCTGTACGGCACCATGGGTCACTGTGCCCCCCCACAGCTGCTGCCCAAGGCTGGGGAGCTCCCGCGGCCCCCCCCCACGCACCGCGAGGAGACAGAGGAGGAGCTGACGGAGCAGCAGTCGCCCCCCCCGCAGGACCAGGAGCCCTCCCCGCTGCCCTCGGACCCCCCCCGGGACCCTGAGGAGCCGGGAGGCAGCGGGGACGAGCCCGATGGCCCCGAGCTGGGGGGCCCCTTCCAGCAGGTGAGAGCCGGGGGGGCCCAGTGCTGATGGGGGGTTATGATGGGGATCCCAGTGCTGATGGAGGGGGGGTCTCATGGAGGTCTCGGTGCTGATGGGGGGGTTATGATGGGGATCCCAGTGCTGATGGAGGGGGGGTCTCATGGAGGTCTCGGTGCTGATGGAGGGGTCTGATGGGGATCCCAGTGCTGATGGGGGGGTCTCTAACAGAGATCCCCCCCCCAGATGCTTCCTGAGGCGCCGGTGCCGCTGTTCCCAGGCCCCCCCCCGGCACTGCTGGCGCTGCCGCACCCGGCGCTCGCCCGCACGCACTCGTCCCCCCCCAGCACCCAGCCCCTCCAGCCCGACGGGGGCCCCCAGCTCCGCTTCAGCACAGGTACAGGGGGGCCCGGCCCTTGGGGTGCCCATTGCCAGGGACCCCCCTGTCTCATAGGAGCCATAGGGGTCCATAGGATCCTTCTGTCCCCTGGTGCTCCCATCTGTTGGGGTGCCTGGGGCTCCCCCTATCCCATGGGATCCCCATGTCCCATGAGGTGCCCCATCCCTCAGGGTGTCCTGGAGTGCCCATGTCCCACTGGGTCCTCCTCTCCCACAGGTTTCCCCATCCTTTGGGGTACCTGGGGTTCCCCATGTCCCATTGAGTCCCCATGCATGGATTCCCTGTGTCCTGTGGGATCCCTGTGTCATATGGGGTTTTCCATCCCTTGGGGTGCCCAGGATTCCGTGTGTGCCATTGGATCCCTATGTCCATTGGATCTCTATGTCCATTGGATCTCTGTCTTATATGCGTATATTACGGTATTACATGGTTATATGGGTATTACTGCGGTATTTGGGGTCCCTCATGTCCCATTGACTCCCCATATCGCATTGGATCCCTGTGTTCTATGGGGTTCCCCATCCCTTGGGGTGCCCGGGGTTCCCATTGGCTCCCCATGTCCCATCTGATCCCTGTGTTTTATGGGGTTCCCCATCCCTTGTGGTGCCTGGGGTTCCCCATATCCCATTGGATCCTGCTGTCCCATTGGATCCCGGTGCCCCGCAGGGCTGGTGTACGACACCTTCATGCTGAAGCACCAGTGCACGTGCGGGAACACCAACATCCACCCGGAGCACGCCGGCCGCATCCAGAGCATCTGGTCCCGGCTGCAGGAGACGGGGCTGCTGGGCAAGTGCGAGGTGAGGACGGCGCGGGGGGGCCCTCCCTTATCATCCCCTTTACGTGGGCGGGGGTCACCCCGTTCCCTGCATCCCTCCCAGCGCATCCGGGGCAGGAAGGCGACGCTGGAGGAGATCCAGACGGTGCACTCGGAGCACCACGCGCTGCTCTATGGCACCAGCCCCCTCAACCGCCAGAAGCTCGACAGCAAGAAGCTGCTGGGTAGGAGCTGGGGGGTCCCCATTTTGGGGGGGGGACGGGGGGGGGACAGACCCCTGCGCTGTCCCCATCGCCCCCATCACCCCGCTCCATCCCGCAGGTCCCATCACCCAGAAGACGTACGCGGTGCTGCCATGCGGCGGCATCGGGGTGAGTCCCTGCTGCAGGGGGGTCCGGGTGTCCCCGTGTCCCGGTGTGACCCCCCCGTGCCCCCGCAGGTGGACAGCGACACGGTGTGGAACGAGCTGCACTCGCCCAGCGCCGTGCGCACGGCCGTGGGCTGCCTGCTCGAGCTTGCCTTCAAGGTGGCGGCCGGGGAGATCCAGGTGAGCGAGAGCAGTGAGTGTGGGTGTGCGTGGGGGTGTGTGTGCATCATCCCTGTGTGTGTGTGTGCATCATCCATGTATGTGTGCATCATCCCTGCGTGCGTGTGTGCATCATCTGTGCGTGTGTGTGTGCATCATCCCTGTGTGTGTGTGTGCATCATCTGTGCGTGTGTGTGTGCATCATCCCTGGGTGCGTGTGTGCATCATCCCTGGGTGCGTGTGTGCATCATCTGTGCGTGTGTGTGTGCATCATCCCTGCGTGCGTGTGTGCATCATCTGTGCGTGTGTGTGTGCATCATCCCTGCGTGCGTGTGTGCATCATCCCTGCGTGCGTGCGTGTGTGCATCATCCCTGCGTGCGTGTGTGTGTGCATCATCCCTGTGTGTGTGTGCATCATCCATGTGTGCATGTGTGCATCATCCCTGCGTGCATGTGTGCATCATCCGTGTGTGCATGTGTGCATCATCCCTGCGTGCGTGTGTGCATCATCTGTGCGTGCGTGTATGCATCATCCCTGTGTGTGTGTGCATCATCCATGTATGTGTGCATCATCCCTGCGTGCGTGTGTGCATCATCTGTGCGTGCGTGTATGCATCATCCCTGTGTGTGTGTGCATCATCCATGTATGTGTGCATCATCCGTGCGTGCGTGTGCATCATCCGTGTGTGTGTGCATCATCCCTGTGTGCGTGTGTGCATCATCCCTGTGTGCGTGTGTGCATCATCCCTGTGTGCGTGTGTGCATCATCCCTGTGTGTGTGTGTGCATCATCCCTCTGTGCGTGTGTACATCATCCCTGTGTGCGTGTGTGCATCATCCATGTATGTGTGCATCATCCATGTATGTGTGCATCATCCATGTGTGTGTGTGTGCATCATCCCTGTGTGCGTGTGTGCATCATCCGGGCGTGCGTGTGTGCATCATCCCTGTGTGCGTGTGTGCATCATCCATGTGTGCGTGTGTGCATCATCCCTGTGTGCGTGTGTGCATCATCCATGTGTGTGTGTACATCATCCCTGTGTGCGTGTGTGCATCATCCGTGAGTGCGTGTGTGCATCATCCCTGCGTGCGTGTGTGCATCATCCCTGCGTGCGTGTGTGCATCATCCGTGTGTGCGTGTGTGCATCATCCATGTGTGCGTGTGTGCATCATCCGTGCGTGCGTGTGTGCATCATCTGTGCGTGCGTGTGTGCGTCATCCGTGTGTGTGCGCATGCGTCATCTGTGCGTGCGTGTGTGCATCATCCGTGTGTGTGTGTGCATCATCCGTATGTGTGTGTGCATCATCCGTGCGTGCATGTGTGCATCATCCGTGCGTGCGTGTGTGCATCATCCCTGCGTGTGTGTGTGCATCATCCGTATGTGTGTGTGCATCATCCATGTGCGTGTGTGCATCATCCCTGCGTGCGTGTGTGCATCATCCGTGTGTGTGCATCATCCCTGCGTGCGTGTGTGCATCATCCGTGCGTGTGTGTGCATCATCCCTGTGTGTGTGTGCATCATCCATGCGTGTGTATGTGCATCATCCATGTGTGTGTGTGTGCATCATCCGTGTGTGCGTGTGTGCATCATCCATGTGTGTGTGCATCATCTGTGCGTGTGTATGTGCATCATCCATGCGTGTGTATGTGCATCATCCGTGTGCGTGTGTGCATCATCCGTGTGCGTGTGTGCATCATCCGTGTGCGTGTGTGCATCATCCGTGTGCGTGTGTGCATCATCCGTGTGTGCGTGTGTGCATCATCCATGTGTGCGTGTGTGTGTGCATCATCCCTGTGTGCGTGTGTGTGTGCATCATCCGTGTGTGCGTGTGTGCATCATCCCTGTGTGCGTGTGTGCATCATCTGTGCGTGTGTGTGTGCATCATCCGTGTATGTGTGCATCATCCATGTATGTGTGCATCATCCATGTGTGCGTGTGTGCATCATCCGTGCGTGTGTGCATCATCCGTGCGTGTGTGCATCATCCGTGCGTGCATGCATCATCCCTGCGTGCCTGTGCATCACCCGTGCATGCGTGTGCATCACCTGTGTGTGCGTGTGCATCACCCGTGTGTGCGTGTGCATCATCCATGTGTGTGCGTGTGCATTATCCGTGTGTGTGTGTGTACATCATCCATGAGTGCATGCGTATCGTGTGTGTGCATCATCTGTGTGTGTGGGTGTGCATCATCCGTGTGTGTGTGCATCCTGTGGGTGTGCATCATGTGTGTGTGGGTGTGCATCATGTGGGTGTGCATCATCCATGTGTGTATGTGCATCATGTGTATGTGCGTGTGCATCATCCATGTGTGTGTGTGCATCATGTGTGTGTGCATGCGTGTGCATCATCCATGTGTGTGTGTGCATCATGTGGGTGTGCATGGGCATTGTCCGTGTGTGTGCATCATCCATGTGTGTGTGTGCATGATCCGTGTGTGCATTGTGTGCACATCCGTGTGCACATCATCTGTGTGTGCATAATGTGCACTGTACACGTGCAACATGTGCATCATCCATGAGTGCATTGTGTACATCGTGCGCACCATACGTGTGCGACCTATGCATCATCCATTATGTGCATCGTGTGCATCTTCCTTGTGCATTGTGTGCACCATCCACGTGTGCACCCTGTGCACCATGCATGTGTGCGGCATGTGTACCATCCACGTGCGTGGGTGTGTGTGTGCGTGTGCATCATCCGTGTGTGTGTTCATCATCCGCGTGTGCATGTGCATCATCTGTGTGCATTGTGTGCATCATTCATGTGTATCGTGTGCACCATCCGTGTGCACCGTGTTCACCTTCCTTGTGCACTATGCGTGTGCGTTGTGTGTATCATTCATGTGTATCGTGTGCACCATCCATGTGCACCGTGTTCACCTCCCATGTGCACCATGCGTGTGCATTGTGTGCATCATTCATGTGTATCATGTGCACCATCCGTGCGCACCGTGTTCACCTTCCGTGTGCACCATGTGTGTGCATTGTGTGTATCATTCATGTGTATCATGTGCACCATCCGTGTGCACTGTGTTCACCTTCCGTGTGCACCATGTGTGTGCATTGTGTGTATCATTCATGTGTATCATGTGCACCATCTGTGTTCCCCTTCTGTGTGCACCATGCGTGTGCATTGTGTGCATCATCCGTGTGCACCATCCATGTGTGTGCCATGCGCGTGCACCACGCTTGTGCAATGGTCCTTATGCACGCTTCTGCGTGCATGGAGCTCACTGGTGTGCTTACCTGCGCATGTGGTGGTTCTTGCGTGCCCTTGCACTGCTCTTGTGCATGCTTGCCTGGTGGTGCAACAGCCCCTGTGCAAGCTCACACTCACTGGTGTCTGTGATGGGTCTCAAGCACATGTGCATGGCAGCAAGCGTGTGTGCCCTCTGCATACATCACATGTGTGCATGCGTGACAGCACATACATTCATCACACGTGTGCACACGTGTGCCTGCGCATGTATACCTCACACGTGTGCACGCTCACTGCAGCCCTTGTGCACACCCTTGCACAGGTGTGTCATGTGCCGTGTCACACGTGTCACATGCACCACACACATGTCACATGCACCACACACGTGTCACGCACCACACGTGTCGCACCACACGTGTGTCACGCACCACACGTGTCACGCGCACCACACGTGTCACGCACCACACGTGTCACACGCACCACACACATGTCACACGCACCACACGTGTCAAACGTACCACACGTGTCAAACGTACCACACGTGTCACACGCACCACACGTGTCACATGCACCACACGTGTCACGCGCACCACACATGTATCACGCACCACATGTGTCACACACACCACACGTGTCGCACCACACGTGTCACACGCACCACACGTGTCACGCACCACACGTGTCACGCACCACACGTGTCACATGCACCACACACATGTCACGCACCACACATGTCACACGCACCACACGTGTCACACGCACCACACGTGTCACACGCACCACACACGTGTCACGCACCACACGTGTCGCACCACACGCGTGTCACGCACCACACGTGTCACACGCACCACACGTGTCGCATCACATGCGTGTCACGCACCACACGTGTCACACGCGTGTCCCTGTGTCCCCGCAGAACGGCTTCGCTGTCATCCGCCCACCGGGGCACCACGCTGAGGAGTCCACGGCCATGTGAGTGCAGGGACACGGGGGGGCGGTGTTGGAGCTGTCGGGGATCCCCCCCAGCACTGACCGTGCCCCCCCAGGGGCTTCTGCTTCTTCAACTCGGTGGCCATCTCGGCCAAGCTGCTGCAGCAGAAGCTCAGCGTGAGCAGGATCCTCATCGTGGACTGGGTAAGGCCCCCCCATGGCGAGGGGTCGCAGGGGTGCTGGGGGGTCCCTGACGTGCTGTCCCCCCCCCAGGACATCCACCACGGCAATGGCACCCAGCAGGCGTTCTACAGCGACCCGGCCGTGCTCTACATCTCCCTGCACCGTTACGACGATGGCAACTTCTTCCCTGGCAGCGGCGCCCCTGAGGAGGTACCGGGACGGCGGGGGGGGGGGGGGGGGTCCCTATTGGTGGGGGGGTCACCCTGTGTTGTACCAGCGGCAGGGGGTGACCGCGCTGTGCTTAGGTGGGCAGCGGAATGGGGGTGGGCTTCAACATCAACATCGCCTGGACCGGGGGGGTGGACCCCCCCATTGGGGATGTGGAATATCTGACTGCCTTCAGGTGAGCAGGGGGCTGTGTCGGGGGAGGCGGGCCCTTGGGGGGTCCCTGTGTCTTTGGGGGGTCCTTGTTCTCTTGGGGGGTCCCTGTGCCCTGGGGGTGTCCCCGTGTCCTGGGCAGATGCGTGTGTCCTAGGAGGGGTCCCTGTACCCTGCCGGGGTTCCTTGCACCGCTGGGGTCTCCCTATGCCCTTGGGGGGTCCCTGCACCGTGGGGTGTCATTGTGTCCTATTGGGTCCCTGTACCCTGGGGTGTCATTGTGTCCTATTGGGTCCCTGTACCCTGGGGTGTCATTGTGTCCTATTGGGTCCCTGCACCCTGGGGTGTCATTGTGTCCTATTGGGTCCCTGCACCCTGGGGTGTCATTGTGTCCTATTGGGTCCCTGCACCCTGGGGTGTCATTGTGTCCTATTGGGTCCCTGCACCCTGGGGTGTCATTGTGTCCTATTGGGTCCCTGCACCCTTGGGGTGTCATTGTGTCCTAGGGGGTCCCTGCACCCTTGGGGTGTCATTGTGTCCTAGGGGGTCCCTGCACCCTTGGGGGTCCCTTTTATGTCCTGAGTGAGGTCCCTGCATCATTAAGGGGGTCCCTGCATCATTGGGAGTGGGGTCCCGGTGTCCTAGGAGGGGGGTCCCTGTTCCCTGGGGGATCCCCATGTCCTGGGGGGGTCCCTGCACCCCGGGGGTCCCCCTGTGCCTGTGCCCGTGCCCAGGACCGTGGTGATGCCGGTGGCCAGCGAGTTCTGCCCGGAGCTGGTGCTGGTCTCAGCCGGGTTCGACGCCGTTGAGGGGCACCTCTCACCCCTGGGGGGCTACTCCGTGAGCGCCAAGTGTGAGCGGGGCGGGGGGCACGGGGGGGCTATGGGGGGTTCTCAGGGCTCGGTGTCACCCCCCCCGTGCCCCCCCCAGGCTTCGGGCACCTCACGAAGCAGCTGATGATGCTGGCGGGGGGACGCGTGGTGCTGGCGCTCGAGGGGGGGCACGACCTCACCGCCATTTGTGACGCCTCCGAGGCCTGCGTGAGCGCCCTGCTGGGCTTGGAGGTACCCGGGCACCCCCATGGGGCCCGTATGGGACATCCCCCCCGGGACACCCCCACATCCATGCGACAACCCCCCCCCGGGACCCCCACCACCACCTATGGGGACCCCCCATGAAACCAGTGGGGACACCCCCACCTCCCATGGGATATCCCACACCCATCCATGGGACCCCCTGTGTGACGCCCCCCCCCCCCATGGGACCCGCAGGCATCCCCAATGGGACGCCCCGTTGCTGGGTGTGGGGGTGCTGGGGGGGTGCTGGGGTCCTCACATGGTGCCCCCCCAGCTGGAGCCGCTGGACCCGTCCTTGCTGCAGCAGAAACCGAACGTGAACGCGGCGGCCGCGCTGGAGAAAGTCATCGAGATCCAGAGTGAGCCCTATGGGGGCATGGGGGAGCCCCCGGGCTTTCCTCACCGGGGGGGTGTCTCTGCCGCCGGTGCCCCATAGGAGGTGTCTGTGGGGGTGTCCCTGCCGCGGGTGCCCCATAGGAGGTGTCTGTGGGGGTGTCTCTGCCACCGGTGCCCCATAGGAGGTGTCTGTGGGGGTGTCCCTGCCGCGGGTGCCCCATAGGAGGTGTCTGTGGGGGTGTCCCTGCCGCGGGTGCCCCATAGGAGGTGTCTGTGGGGGTGTCCCTGCCGCGGGTGCCCCATAGGAGGTGTCTGTGGGGGTGTCAGTGCTGTGGGTGCCCCATAGGAGGTGTGTGTGGGGGTGCCCCACGGGCCCTGTCTCTGTCGCAGGCCGGCACTGGGGCTCTCTGAAGCGTGGGGGGGCCCCGTGGCTCAGCGCTGGGGGGGACGCGGAGGCAGAGGCGCTCTCGGCCATGGCCCAGCTCTCGGTGGGGGCAGAGCAGGGGAGCGGCGACACCAGGCCCAGGTACGGCCCCGACAGGCGGGCGATGGCGTGTGCAGGGACACGTGTGTGATAGCGTGTGCATGGATACAGGTGATAGCGTGTGCATGGATACAGGTGATAGCGTGTGCAGGGACACGTGTGTGATAGCGTGTGCAGGGACACGTGTGTGATAGCGTGTGCAGGGACACGTGTGTGATAGCGTGTGCAGGGACACGTGTGTGATAGCGTGTGCATGGATACAGGTGATAGTGTGTGCAGGGGCACGTGTGTGATAGCGCGTGCATGGATACAGGTGATAGCGTGTGCAGGGACGCGTGTGTGATAGCGTGTGCAGGGACACGTGTGTGATAGCGTGTGCAGGGATACAGGTGATAGTGTGTGCAGGGACACGTGTGTGATAGCGCGTGCAGGGACACGTGTGTGATAGCGTGTGCATGGATACAGGTGATAGTGTGTGCAGGGACACGTGTGTGATAGCGCGTGCAGGGACACGTGTGTGATAGCGCATGCAGGGACACGTGTGTGATAGCGTGTGCATGGATACAGGTGATAGTGTGTGCAAGGACACGTGTGCGATGGCGTGTGCAGGGACACGTGTGTGATAGCGCGTGCAGGGACACGTGTGCATAGCACGTGCAGGGACACGTGTGTGATAGCGCGTGCAGGGACACGTGTGCATAGCGCGTGCAGGGACACGTGTGCGATAGCGCGTGCAGGGACACGTGTGCATAGCGCGTGCAAGGACACGTGTGCGATAGCGCGTGCAGGGACACGTGTGCGATAGCGCGTGCAGGGACACGTGTGCGATAGCGCGTGCAGGGACACGTGTGCGATAGCGCGTGCAGGGACGCGTGTGCGATAGCGCGTGCAGGGACGCGTGTGCGAGAGCGCGTGCAGGGACGCGTGTGTGATAGCGCGTGCATGGATACAGGTGATAGCGTGTGCATGGATACAGGTGATAGCGTGTGCAGGGACGCGTGTGTGATAGCGCGTGCAGGGACACGTGTGTGAGAGCGTGTGCAGGGACTCGTGTGTGATAGCGCGTGCAGGGACGCGTGTGTGATAGCGCGTGCATGGATACAGGTGATAGCGTGTGCATGGATACAGGTGATAGCGTGTGCAGGGACGCGTGTGTGATAGCGCGTGCAGGGACACGTGTGTGAGAGCGTGTGCAGGGACTCGTGTGTGATAGCGTGTGCATGGATACAGGAGATAGCGCGTGCAGGGACACGTGTGCGATAGCGCGTGCAGGGACGCGTGTGCGATAGCGCGTGCAGGGATGCGTGTGCGAGAGCGCGTGCATGGATACAGGTGATAGCGTGTGCATGGATACAGGTGATAGCGTGTGCAGGGACGCGTGTGTGATAGCGTGTGCAGGGATGCGTGTGTGATAGCGTGTGCAGGGACGCGTGTGCGATAGCGTGTGCAGGGACACGTGTGTGAGAGCGCGTGCGGGGACTCGTGTGTGAGAGCGCGTGCGGGGACGTGCGTGTGATAGCGTGTGCAGGGACGCGTGTGTGATAGCGTGTGCATGGATACAGGAGATAGCGCGTGCAGGGACACGTGTGTGATAGCGCGTGCAGGGACACGTGTGTGATAGCGCGTGCAGGGACACGTGTGTGATAGCGCGTGCATGGATACAGGTGATAGCGTGTGCATGGATACAGGTGATAGCGTGTGCAGGCACGCGTGTGTGATAGCGCGTGCAGGGACACGTGTGTGAGAGCGTGTGCAGGGACTCGTGTGTGATAGCGTGTGCAGGGACGCGTGTGTGATAGCGTGTGCATGGATACAGGAGATAGCGCATGCAGGGACACGTGTGTGATAGCGCGTGCAGGGACACGTGTGTGATAGCGCGTGCATGGATACAGGTGATAGCGTGTGCATGGATACAGGTGATAGCGTGTGCAGGGACACGTGTGTGATAGCGTGTGCAGGGACGTGTGTGTGAGAGCGTGTGCATGGATACAGGTGATAGCATGTGAAAGGACACGTGTGTGTGGATACATGTGATAGCGTGTGCATGGGCACGTGTGATAGCGTGTGCATGGGCACGTGTGATAGCGTGTGCATAGACGTGTGCATGGGTACATGTGACAGTGTGTGCATGCTCATGTGTGATAGCTTATGCAGGGACGTGTGTAATAGGGTGTGCATGGTGTCACACGTGTGATAGCGTGTGTGATGGCATGTGCATGGTCATGTGTGCACAGACACGTGTGTTGGCGTGTGCAGAGACACGTGTGATGGTGTGTGCACGGACACGTGTGATGGTGTGTGCACAGACACGTGTGATGGTGTGTGCAGAGACACGTGTGTTGCCGTGTGCAGAGACACGTGTGCAGTGTGTGACAGCGTGCGCAGAAATGTGTGCATGGACACGCATGTGCTGGCTGCGCATGGAGCCCCGCATGTCCTCGGTGGGATGCGTGTTCCTGGGGATGGATGGACCCGTCCATGTGCATCCTCATGGACCCACACGCGTGGCTCCGCTCCCCGCTGTGTCCCGCGGAGGGGGCGCAGCCGCATCCCGGTGCCGGATCCCAGCATTCCCGCTCTCCCAGGCCAGCCGAGGAGCCGATGGAGGCAGAGCCCGCGCTGTGACCGAGCAAACCCCAGGAATCCCCAAAAACCACCTGGAAAACCGCAGAAAAAGACAAAAAAAAAGTGGGAATTGGGCAGAAAAGTGGGAAAAAAAAAGAGGAAAATATTTTCTTTTTCTATTAAAAAAGGCAGAAAAGGACAAAAAAAAATCCACCCCCCTCCCCACCACCCCCCCCGAGTTCAGATCTCCCCCCCATTGTGTCCATTGTGTCCCATTGTGTCCCATTGGATCCCATTGTGTCCCATTGGATCCCATTGTGTCCCATTGGATCCCATTGTGTCCCATTGGATCCCATTGTGTCCCATCACCCCCCCGGCTCCTGTCCCGCTCTGAGGGTCTTTCCCTTGTTTTCTCCCTCGTTCTCCCCCATCCCGGGAGGAGCCGATGGGAATTTTGTGCCTTCCATTTGCTCCGGTGGGTTTTGGTTTCATGCCTTAAATTTCCTGGGATTTGCGGGGGGGTCTCCATCTACTTCCTTTAGTTTTCCTTTCCCACCCTCGTCCATGCCCCTCGGTCACCCCTGAAGATGATGGATCCATAGGGATGGGTGAGGGATCCTGGGGATGTTGGGTGAGGGATCCATAGGGATGGGTGAGGGATCCTGGGGATGTTGGGTGAGGGATCCATAGGGATGGGTGAGGGATCCATAGGGATGGGTGATGGATCCATAGGGATGGGTGAGGGATCCATGGGGATGGGTGATGGATCCATAGGGATGGGTGAGGGATCCTGGGGATGTTGGGTGATGGATCCATGGGGATGGATGAGGGATCCTGGGGATGTTGGGTGAGGGATCCATAGGGATGGGTGAGGGATCCTGGGGATGTTGGGTGATGGATCCATAGGGATGGGTGAGGGATCCTGGGGATGTTGGGTGATGGATCCATGGGGATGGGTGAGGGATCCTGGGGATGTTGGGTGATGGATCCATAGGGATGGGTGAGGGATCCATAGGGATGGGTGAGGGATCCTGGGGATGTTGGGTGATGGATCCATAGGGATGGGTGATGGATCCATGGGGATGGGTGAGGGATCCATGGGGATGGGTGAGGGATCCATAGGGATGGGTGAGGGATCCTGGGGATGTTGGGTGATGGATCCATAGGGCTGGGTGAGGGATCCATAGGGATGGGTGATGGATCCATAGGGATGGGTGAGGGATCCATAGGGATGGGTGATGGATCCATGGGGATGGGTGAGGGATCCATGGGGATGGGTGAGGGATCCATAGGGATGGGTGAGGGATCCTGGGGATGTTGGGTGATGGATCCATAGGGCTGGGTGAGGGATCCATAGGGATGGGTGATGGATCCATAGGGATGGGTGAGGGATCCATAGGGATGGGTGATGGATCCATAGGGCTGGGTGAGGGATCCATGGGGATGGGTGATGGATGCTGGCACCTTCCTTGAGATAAACCTTTGTTGTTCACGGAGGAAAGAAGGGAACCCCCCAGACGGGGATCATCCCGCTCACTTTTCCCATCACTTCCCCCCCCCCCATCAAAGGATATAATTTTATTACAGATGTATTATTTAATAGTATTTTTTTATCGGGGGGGCCCCACATGGGGTGGGGGGCGGCAGAGATGGGGGTCCCAGTGTCCCCCCCACCCCCCATGGGAGGGGCCCTGGGCCTGTCCCCATTCAATGGGGGGCTCCCAGCGCCCCACAGCTCCGTTGGGGGGGGGGTGTTGGGGGCCCCACTCGCTGTGGGTCCGGGTCCCTGTTTTGTACCACGTCCCCGTGTTCGTCCTCGGAGAAATAAACGGGTTCTGGCAATAGAACTGCGGGGGGGGGGCACCGCCTTGCTGCCCCCCGCGTCCCCATCGCACTGACGGAGGCGGGGGCCGGTCGGTGACGGCCTTTATTTGGTTACAAATGGGGTCCCCCCCCCCCGCCCCACACTTGGGGGTCGCTACTCGCGGTGTGGGGCGCGGCTGAGCCCCGCGAGGAGCCGCGGCAGCGCCGAGCCCACGAGCCAGGGCCCCGCGGCGGCGCGGAGCGCGCAGCTCCCGGAGCAGAGCGCGGGGTCCCGCGGCTCCCGCAGCCGCTGCAGCCCCTGGAGCGCGGCCACCGCGGCCCCGGCCCCGGCCAAGCGCGGCCACGGGCCCAGGCGCGGAGCGGGAGCCGCGGCCGCCAGCGCCAGCCCCAGCGCGGAGCCCGCGTCCCGCCACAGCGAGGCCAGCGGCCGCGAGTCCGGGCGGAGCCAGGCGGGGCTGGAGCACCAACGGGTGGCGAGGAGCAGGGACCTGGGGGGACACGGAGCGGCTGCGGGGAGGGACCCACGGATGTGGGGCGGGGACGCTGCTATGGGGCGCGAGCATCACTGCGAGGCCAGGGGAATGGAGCTGGGGGGGGAGCAGCTGTGGGGCGGGAGGGACACATAGATGTGGGGCTGGGATACAGCTGTGGGAGGGACACATAGATGTGGGGCTGGGATACAGCTGTGGGAGGGACACATAGATGTGGGGCTGGGATACAGCTGTGGGATGGGACACATAGATGTGGCGCGGGGATACAGCTGTGGGATGGGACACATAGATGTGGGGCTGGGATACAGCTGTGGGCGGGACACATAGATGTGGGGCTGGGATACAGCTGTGGGCGGGACACAGGTGTGGGGCTGGGATACAGCTGTGGGATGGGACACATAGATGTGGGGCTGGGATACAGCTGTGGGCGGGACACATAGATGTGGCGCGGGGATACAGCTGTGGGCGGGACACATAGATGTGGGGCTGGGATACAGCTGTGGGACGGGACACATAGATGTGGGGCTGGGATACAGCTGTGGGCGGGACACAGGTGTGGGGCTGGGATACAGCTGTGGGCGGGACACATAGATGTGGGGCTGGGATACAGCTGTGGGATGGGACACATAGATGTGGGGCTGGGATACAGCTGTGGGCGGGACACATAGATGTGGGGCTGGGATACAGCTGTGGGACGGGACACATAGATGTGGGGCTGGGATACAGCTGTGGGATGGGACACATAGATGTGGGGCTGGGATACAGCTGTGGGACGGGACACATAGATGTGGGGCTGGGACACAGCTGTGGGCGGGACACATAGATGTGGGGCTGGGATACAGCTGTGGGCGGGACACAGATGTGGGGCTGGGATACAGCTGTGGGATGGGACACATAGATGTGGGGCTGGGATACAGCTGTGGGCGGGACACAGGTGTGGGGCTGGGACACAGCTGTGGGCGGGACACAGGTGTGGGGCTGGGATACAGCTGTGGGACAGGACACATAGATGTGGGGCTGGGATACAGCTGTGGGCGGGACACAGGTGTGGGGCTGGGATACAGCTGTGGGGTGGGACACATAGATGTGGGGCTGGGATACAGCTGTGGGCGGGACACATAGATGTGGGGCTGGGATACAGCTGTGGGACGGGACACATAGATGTGGGGCTGGGATACAGCTGTGGGCGGGACACATAGATGTGGGGCTGGGATACAGCTGTGGGGCGGGACACGTAGATAGATGTGGGGCTGGGATACAGCTGTGGGGCTGGAGCACCACAGCGTGGCCAGGTGACTTGACCTGGGGCAGGGAGACTGTAGGGTGCCATGTGGCTAGGAAGCCCGTCTATGGGTGAAGCTACCATCTTTGGGGCCAGGACCCACATCTATGGGGTTGGAACCCCTCTCTATGGGGCAGGTCCCATCTATGGGACATGGGGCCCACATTTACGTGTGAACACACCATGTGGAACCCCTGTCCATGGGGCAGGACTTACCTGGCCAGGGCTTCAGGCCTCAGTGGTGGAAGCTGCCCTTAGGGGCACCAGAGAGGGGAAGCCCCCAAGCCCCCTGCAACAAGCACTGGGGGGTGGCTGTGGGGCAGGAGGTGGGGCTCACCCCACCCAGCACTCACCAGTCGATGTCGAAGCCGGCAGCGCTCAGGACCCAGCGCAGGATGAGGGCGCTGAGTGGCAGGAGCAGTGCGGCGAAGGCAAAGGCGCGGGGGGACCCCGGGGTGCGGCCCTGCAGCCCCCAGCCCAGCACCACCCCTGCAGCACCCGCGGGTCAGGGGGAGCTGCCCCGTAGATAGGGGTCACCCCCCACAGACCCACCCCATAGATGGGGGTCAGCCCCACTGACCCGCCCCATAGATGGAGGTCAGCTCCACTGACCCGGCCCATAGAAGGGAGTCAGCCCCACTGACCCGCCCCATAGATGGAGGTCACCCCCCACAGACCCACCCCATAGAAGGGGGTCACCCCCCACTGACCCGCCCCATAGATGGGGGTCAGCCCCACTGACCCGCCCCATAGAAGGGGGTCACCCCCCACTGACCCGCCCCATAGATGGGGGTCAGCCCCACTGACCCGCCCCATAGAAGGGGGTCAGCCCCACTGACCCGCCCCATAGATGGGGGTCAGCCCCCACTGACCCGCCCCATAGAAGGGAGTCAGCCCCACTGACCCGCCCCATAGATGGGGGTCAGCCCCACTGACCCGCCCCATAGAAGGGGGTCAGCCCCACTGACCTGCCACGGTGCCGGTCACCACCTGATGGGGGAAGTGGGCCAGGACGAAGACCCTCGAGAGCCCCACGGCCGCCAGCAGCAGGACGTAGGCAGCGCAGGGCAGGATCCTCAGCACGGGGCTGCTTGCAGGGGGCGGTTTTCCAGGTGGGAATTCCCGGGCTCCCGCTTCCCAGCGCCCGCTCCCAGCACTCACCTCCCGCAGCGGGCGCGCAGCGCGGCCACGAGCGGCCACAGCGCTGCCGCCGGGACCATGCAGTGCCCCGAGGGGCTCCCTGCGGAGGGAGCGCAGGGAATGAACGGTCCGTGGGGCGCGGGAGGATGAGGATGGAGCCGGGCGCCCCCGGTCCCGTCCCGGGTCCAGCCCTTCCCTGTGCATGCGGGGCGCTGGATCCCGCTCACCGGGTCCGGTCTCGCAGGACACCGGGAACTGCCGCAGCGCCAGCAGCTCCCGCGCCGCCATTCCCGACTCATGGAGCCACCAGAAGGGCCGCTCGCCGAAGAGGAGCCTGGTGGGGACCGGCAGCGCCCCGCGATGAGCGTGGGGCTGCTCCCCGCGGGGAGCCCCGGCCGGCCCCCCGCTCCTCACCACTTGAGCACCACGTTGAGCCACTCGGCCAGCAGCGCGCCCCACAGCACCGCCGTCCCCACGGCTGGCTCCAGGGAGTAGCAGAGCGGGAAGCAGACGGTGAAGAGGTGCTTGGGGTCGGCCATGGAGCTCAGCGGGACCAGGACCCGCTCCAGCCACGACGGCCCCGCCTGCAGCAGCGCCGCAAAGCGGATCCCGGCCTCGTGCAGCGCATCCATGGCTGCGGACACCGGGAACGCTGCGGGGGGAATGCGGCTGCGCTAGGCCAGGCTTGGGGGCTCTGTGGGCCCCTGGGGTCTCCTGTGGGTCCCCTACGCCAGACTTGGGGTCTCTATAGATCCCTATGGGTCTCTATGGGTCCCTTTGGGTCTCTATAGGTCCCTATGGGTCTCTATAGGTCTCTATAGGTCGCTATGGGTCTCTATAGGTCTCTATATGTCCCTATGGGTCTCTATAGGTCCCTCTGGGTCTCTATAGGTCCCTATGGGTCTCTATAGGACCCTATGGGTCTCTATAGGTCCCTATGGGTGTCTATGGGTCACTATAGGTCCCTCTGGGTCTCTATGGGTCCCTATGTGTCTCTATGGGTCCCTCTGGGTCTCTATAGGTTTCTCTGGGTCTCTATGGGTCCCTTTGGGTCTCTATGGGTCTGTATAGGTCCCTATGGGTCTCTATAGGTCCCTCTGGGTCTGTATAGGTCCCCATGGGTCTCTATGTGTCAGTATAGGTCCCTATGGGTCTCTATAGGTCCCTATAGGTCCCTATGGGTCTGTATAGGTCTCTATAGGTCCCTATGGGTCTGTATAGGTCCCTATGGGTCTCTATGGGTCTGTATAGGTCCCTGTGGGTCCCTATAGGTCCCTATGGGTCTCTATGGGTCCCTCTGGGTCTCTATGGATCCCTATGGGTCTCTATAGGTCTCTATGGCTCCCTAGGCCGGGCCGGGCCTCCCAGGATCCCGCAGGCCGGAGCCGTCTCGCGGTCCCTCAGGCCGGGCCTGGCTCCGCTCCGGAGCTCGGGGCTCCCCGGGGCCGCGCTCGGGGCTCCCCCCAGGGCCGCTCCCGCCGCCTCCCCCCGCTTTATCCGGTCCCTCCCGTTGTTCCCCCTCCGTTTCCCTGCCGTTACCGTGGCAACGCCCGTTATCTCCTTCCGCCTACGCTCCCCGTCATCCCCCGCGGCAACTACGGCGTGCGGCGAGGGCCAAGCCCCGCCCGGCGGCGTGCGCGGTGACGTCAGGCGGCCCCGCCCCGCCGCGCCTGGCCGAGGGGAGCCCGGTGCGGGCCGAGACAAGATGGCGGCGCCGGGCGAGTACTTCAGCGTGGGCAGCCTGGTGTCGTGCCGGACCTGCCAGGAGCAGCGCCTCCAGGGCGAGGTCGTGGCCTTCGACTACCCCAGCAAGATGCTGGCGCTCAGTATCCGGCACCCCCGCAGCACCGGCCCTGAGCGGCCCCGGCCTGGCACAGGCAGCGGGGGGGGTGTGGGGCCTGTGGGGGTGATGGGCCCATGGGAGGCCCGGGGAATGGAGGAGGGGTTGGGGGGGGGGGAGGGAGGCGCTGAATGGGGGGGTTTAGGGGGGCTGGAGTGGGGTGACCATAGCCGTCTGTGAGGGGGGGTTGGAGGAGGTGTGATGAGCCCGGGTTTGGGGTTGTGGGGGGTTCTATAGGCAGGGTTTGGGGTCCTGTGGGGAAAGCAGTGGGGCGCTGGATAGGCGGGTTTGGGGGGCTCAGTGCAGGGCTGGACTGGGGTTATGGGGTATAGGCACTCTGTAAAGGGGGTTTGGGGGGGCAGTGATGAGCTCTATGTGGAGTTATGGGGGGCAGTGGGGCACTGGATAGGCAGGCTTGGGGGGCTCAGTGGGGAGCCCTGTGTAGGGCTATGGGGAGGGAATGGGGCCATGGATAGGAGGGTTTTGGGGGGCAGTGGAGGGTCCTGTAGTGGGCTTATGGGGGGCATGTGGGGCATTATATAGGCAGGTTTTTGAGGAACCCTGTGTAGGGCTATGGGGAGGCAGTGAGGCACTGGATAGGCAGGGTTTTTTTTGGGGGGGGGGGGCTGTGGGGAGCCCTGTGTGGGGCTGTGGGGCAACTCTGGGGTGTCTTATAGGGAGGGAAGGATGAGCCCTGCGGTGAGGTGGGGGCTCTGTGTTGAGCACCCCGTAGGGATGCTATAATGCCGGGGATGGCATTAATGGAGGGGAGTGGGGTCCCCTATAGAGAGGGTGTGGGGCACCCTGGGGGCTGGTTTGGGGGAGCCCCGTGGTGGGGTTATGGGGGTGGGTGCCCTATAGAAAGGGTTTGAGGGGAGCCCTGTAGGAGACCAGGCCAGACCCATGGGCAATGGGGTGAGGCTGCCCCTCGGCTCCTGGCCTGGGATTCACTGCAAGGGGCTGGGCTCTGCTCCCAAGGGATGGGACAAGAGTTGCGTGCTCCAGGGAAGGTCCTTTAAGGTCCTTTGCATCCTTAAACCATTCTGTGGGGTTTTCCATGCTCTTGGCTCCCTCCATCCCTGGATCAGAAGGTGCAGGTTGAGGGGTGCTGGTTGGGTTCCCTGCTCAGCATTTGGATCTAAGTGGCTTTTTGGGATGCTTTTCCCAGCATTCCAGGCTGGGATAACTCCTGGTGTAGTCGGGAAAGATGAACCAGCAGTGAATGGATCCCAGGGGAGACCCGGGGGGGTGTTGGGGTCTCCCATTTGTTTTGGGTGATCTGGTTTACTCCTGGACCACTCCGCCCCTCAGGCCTGCAGCTGTGTCCCTGTGGATTTGTATTCCTTAACATCGCCCCCCCAGAATGCCCCTCATCCAGCGGGAAGCCCAACCACGCGGACATCCTGCTCGTCAACCTCCAGTACGTGTCAGAAGTGGAGATAATCAATGACCGCACAGAAACCCCCCCTCCTTTGGCTTCCCTCAATGTCAGCAAGGTAAGGGATGCATTCCCAAGGCTGGGAATGCCCTGTTCCCACTCAGGATCTTGGGCTGGATCCTCTGCTTCAGCAGAGAGGAGGGAGGGTGGAGCTGGAGCAGGGAGCAGCACTGGGATGCTCAAAGGAGGGAGCACTCCATGTGTAGGGAGTGGGCACATCCAGAGCTGTGGGCAGTGGCTCCATATCCCAAATGGAGATCAGTGATGGGCGGTGTTCCTCAGGGATCGGGGTTGGGATCGATCAGTGACATGGACAGTGGGATCCAGCACCCTCAGGAGCTGGTGCTGAGCTCTGGAGCCAGGCTGAGAGCTGGGCCCAGTCACTTGGATATTGAGGAGCCGCTTCCCCTCCTCCCTCTGGAAGGGGCTCCCTTCCCATTCCCCGTGGTGGTGTTGGGAGCAGGGAAGGTGGGGGGCCTGGCTCTGGGGTCTCCCCTCTCATGTGTGCGGAGCCAGGCTGGGATCGCTGGTGCTGCAGCGCTGGGATACAGGCTCTGACACTGGCCTGGAGCTGGGAATGGAGCTGATGGCACATGGGAATGCTCAGCCCTGCCTGGTCCTCTGGTTGTGCTGAGCTGGGACACAACAGGATCCATCTATAGGGATCTGTGGTAGGGGCAGGAATGCTGCTGCTGCAGGAAGGATGCTCAGTGCCATTCATCACATGGGAATGATGCCTTTCCCATCATTCCATGGATGTGGATCTAATCCATGCTGCTGGCATGCAAGGGCTCCTCACTGGCACCGGTGCCTTCAGGTGCTCACTGCAGGGGGTGAAGCCGTGGATCCTTGAATTGGGAATGCTGGAAGTTTGAGCCTTGGTGTGTCTGCTGTGGAGCTGTTGGTGATGGATCGGGAGAGCACATTCCATTGACAGACCTGATCCCAGGATCCAGGAGCACTTGATGGAGGCAGCACATGGAGGGGCTGCTCCTTATCCCGCTGCTCCCAGGGCTGTCCCCACCGCTGCTGGAGGGGGCACAAGGGAGAGGGGCCTGAGGGTGTGGATGGAAGGAGTGGGGTTTCCCGTGGGAATACCGTGCCCATGGTGATGCTGAGGCCCCTCTCCTGCTGTGTCCTCCCCAGCTCGCCACCAAAGCGCGGACGGAGAAGGAGGAGAAGCTGAGCCAGGCCTATGCCATCAGCGCCGGCGTCTCCCTGGAGGGGCAGCAGCTCTTCCAGACCATCCACAAGACGTGAGTCCCTGCCCAGAGCCATGGAATTCCCTGTATCCCAGAGCACGGCCCTTGGGCTGGGGGGCACACACAGAGCTCGGAGCTCCCTGGGGATGTGTCCCTGATCCCTCTTCCCTTCCTGCAGCATTAAGGACTGTAAATGGCAGGAGAAGAACATCGTGGTGATGGAGGAAGTCGTCATCGCCCCCCCCTACCAGGTGGAGAATTGCAAAGGCAAAGAGGGCAGCGCCCTGAGCCACGTGCGCAAGATTGTGAGTATGGGGGGGCATGGCCAGGGGGGAGCCCCACCATCCCCTCCGCCCCTAACCCCTTCTTACCATCCCCTCCGCCCCTAACCCCCTCTTCGCATCCCGTCCATCCCTAACGCCCTCTTCCCGTCCATCCCTAACGCCCTCTTCCCGTCCATCCCTAACGCCCTCTTCCCGTCCATCCCTAACCCCCTCCTCCCATCCCGTCCATCCCTACCCCCCTCTCCCCATCCCCTGCATCCCATTGTTCCCACTGCAGGTGGAGAAGCACTTCCGAGACGTGGAGAGCCAGAAGGTGATGCAGCGTTCCCAAGCACAGCAGCCACAGAAGGAGACCCCTTTGTCCTCCTGAGACCCCCGGGAGCACCGCTCAGCTCTGGTGGCCGCAGTGCCAATTGGGGGGGGGGGGGTGGTGTGGGGGGGCATCGATCCCACTTCGATTTCCCTTTTCATTTCCTGTGGGAGCTCATCCCATTCCCAGCTGTAGCCTTGAAGCCACCCGAGACCAGAGCAACCTCCCCCCCCCCCACTAACAGCTCCTTCTCCCGTTGCCTTTCCCACCCTTTTTCTCCCCATATTCCCAATCCCCCCTTTGCTTTTCTAAAGGGGGGGTCCCCCTATTCCCTATCCCCCCCCCCCTCCCCCCGCCCAAAAGTGATGCCCCGGCTCCCCCAGACCAGCGCTGTCTGGTTGGAATCCAGTTTGCACAGGGCAGGGCTTGAATTCCCGGAGGGAATTCTTCCCTTTAAAGCTATATATGAAGATATATTAAACTGATCCCAAAATCTCTTCTCCCTCAGGATCATGGCAGAAAATCCCCCCCTTCCTCCCCCGTTGGGGGGGTTTCTCTTTATTTTCCTGAATTTTCCCAGTTTTTTTGGGTTTTGCCATG